GCAATAAATCGTGTGAAGTGGCGCTTCGATACAGTGTGGTATTTTTCTTTATCCTGAACATGGCATCCCTGGGAGTTTACTTGTTTCATTCATAATTAAAAGTAGTATAGGAAATGTCTTGGTCCAATTAGCGCATATGATCAAATAACGTCATATAAGATCACGTAAGGACCTTAGAAGAACATATAAGGACAAAGTAAGATTATATACGAAGTTATAAGGAACTTTTTATAAATTTCTAACTTCTTGTATACTCTTGTATGTTTTCTATGTGTTCGTATGTGATCGTATTTGATCATATGTGTTCATTGGACGAACACATTTTTTATACAAATAAGATTTTTCACTAGGGATGCATGAGAAGAGAACCGACACGTAAAAAAAATTGAGATTGGCGGTGCGTATTGAATGCGCATCGACATCCCCGGTGTGCCGTATCACACCGGGGATACCCGAGGCCAATTACACATATTTTAACGTGGTCAGATTCGTATGACGGGTTGGCCGTCTTGCAGCGCACGTGTTTGGCGCTTTATGGATTTCCACAAAAACTACCGAAAAAATCCGCCTGGTCCTGGTATCGAACCAGGGACCTCACAATTTCCAGTGGTAATACCAGAACCAGGTGGATTTTTTCGGTCGTGAACCAGTCGCGTGGATGTGTTTGGAGATTTGTGTTTGTCCCTTGTCCCCCTTGTTCCCCTTCTTCGGGGGTTATTATCGTCAACAGGCGTGTTTCTTGGGGTGCCCGGCACAGTGCACGTCTTAGAAAACCGAGTTTTCTGGATCCGTTTAATATGATGTGATCAATGTGCTCGCTCCACGTTAAGCTGGACGTAAAATGGACACCTAGATATTTAAACGACGTGACGACTTCTAGTTCGAGAGAGAGAGGAGGCTGTACTGGGGCCAATATCACATTAGTTTTATTGGTATTTCCCATTAGTCGGCATTTGCTAATGTGAATCTTAAGCTGCCATTTTAAGCACCAATTAGTAATTTTGTCAATGTCAGTTTGTAGAGCGCAACCACCATATATACTTTTTTTTCCATGAATGACACAATTGTTTGCCAACAATCTGATTGTTGATGATAAGGTGGATGGAGGTCATTGATATAAATGAGAAACAATAGCGTAACAATTACAGTATACCCTGAGAAACGACTGGTGTCACGGGAAGTTTTGAGGAAAGAGTGTCGTTTAACCTTACTGATTGGGTTCTGCCAAGCAAAAATGCTGCAATCTATTGAAAGATGGGTCTATTTGAAGGTGGGACAATTCTAAAAGTAGGCGACCACGTGGAACTGCGTTAAATGTCTTTGCAAAGTCGATGAAGATGACATAAGTCTGGGTGCCAGCATGAGTGTTAAAAGTGCAAATCCGCGATGAACTCAAATAGTTGATTATTACATGAGTATAGTTTTGTGTGAAGTTGTGCCGATTCGCAAAAAGAAAGTTATCACCGTCGAGGTGGGACGTGATAGCTGTAAAAATGACGTGCTTCATTATTACCTTGCACTGAACGCTTGAGAGGGAAATCGGAGTTCATGCCAGATTTGGAAATTGGTTGGACGATAGCAAAACCTCAGTCAGTTGGAACAGTGCCACGTCAAGACTTTGCTGAAAAAGCAGAGATAAAAGAACAGAGGCCGAGTTGTTTAACGAGGTTAGCACCTTTGAAGATATGGCATCATCGCCGGCGGCGCAGTGAGACAGGAGTTTATCAATAAGTTTGGAAATACAGTTACTTGTGAGTGAAATGGGAGACATGGAGGTGCAAATGGAAACTCCGGTGGCGAAAGAAGCGGGAATGATTCTTGAGTGAATACAGTCGAGAAAACGCTATTCAACGTATATGTCTCGCATCGCTATCGGACAGGTAGTCACCCTCTTGGTCTGTGCACGAACAACGAATTACTTCGAGTTTCACTGGGATTGAAGATTTTTTCCAGAACTTACGAGGATCGGTTCTTAAGACGTGTAGCAGTTTTTCTCCGAAAAACTCTTTCTGCTTTGATAATTTTTTTATTTTATATATATATATATTTTGACCAAAGACTATGTGCGGACCAATCATCGTCTCTGTTAGTTGCTCTCTGGATCAGCCTCTTTCTTCATGTCCAACGTAAGTTTTAGGGAATTTGTGAACCAGGGTGAGAGATAGCCCGCAGTGTAAGTAACAAAACATCAAACAACGCGGCGCTATTTTTGTTGTGCGTGCGTGTATATGTAAGCGAGTGTGTCACCGAGCGCTGCGGCTTGTGCGAGCCCTGAGGCTTTCAGAGAGGTTCCATTGGCGCCGCAATGTCTTGCAAAAGTAATCGTAATTGTGCCTGAAATTTTGCAATTCCTGACGCTGAAAAGTAATTAAATTACAGTTACAATTCATTTTAGCCGAAAGTGATTATTTACAATTACAAATTACAAAAAGTAATTATTGAAATTACAGTGATTCAATTACTGTAATTTAATTACTACCCAAGTATGTTCTGGCACACGTGGCCAATAGCGTAGTTTTTTTTTTTTTTTTTTGTTTCATAATTCGAGCTGAATTGCAATTAATTAAACGAGCGTGTGGCCACGTGAAAAGTAGATGGCACTGCAAATATGCAGTGCATATTTGCAGTGCAAGCACGCTGCCATGAAATACTCTTTCACCGCACAAACGCGTGTGTTCGGGATCCATATCGTTTCGTCGAAACAGATTTCGTGGACAACTTGTCAGAAACACACGTTTCGTGGACATATTTTATGCCTTATCTTATTTATTTATTTTTTTTTCATTTTTTTTTTCCCCCAAATGATTTGGCTTGAAATTCTACTGACTTCATTTGGTTCGCTGGAAGGATGCCGGAACCACAGCGAACTCACTCAAGCGGCTCCGATGGGGCAAGAACAAATTCGCGAGCCCCAATCCTGGGCTTCCAAACGCGCCACGACGCGCGAAACCCCCTCACTCCTCTCGGGGGAAATTTTAAGAGAATCCCGGGCCCGAGCTTGCACCATGCATCCTCTTTAGAACCGTCAAGGGCTCGGCAAGCGATGGGCCCATCCGAATGCCGGCGAAAAAGGCAGTGTGCGCGGACATACGCTTTCGACGAAACGTCGCAGGGTGTGTCGATTAAACGGTCGCGAACACCTTTCGATGAAACGTCGCGGTAAGCGAAAGAATCTGTCGATGATAAGTCATTCGACGAAGGGCGAGGGCACACAGTGAGCCTCCCTGCCTTTCCTTGTCACCTGCACGCCTGGAGTGCATTCTCTTGAATGCAATAAAAAAAAAAAAAAAAAAACTATTGAACTATTGATGGCCACCGCTCAGCAGGCCCGTTCAAAGGACGGAATTCGCTCCTATATAGCTTTCGCTCTGCTTAAATGCCCACAATGTGCCCTTGAAACGCCGAAATACCGCCATCACCGTGAAGTTTGTGTCGTCTGCAGTAAAGGATACCAGCGCGAGCGACTAGTCCTGTACTCCTGTCATCCTTAAACAACAACAAAAAAAAAAAAAAAGAGTTAGAGTTGAGTTTTGGCGTGTTTTTATCCCGCAAATTCGAATATCACTTTCGTTTTTTCCTAAAGATGTAACTAAACGCGAGAAAACGCGAAAAACTTCCGACCAGTCGTGACGTGCCAAGCGCGTGTCGCTCATGTTGGGCAGCGCGTGCAGTTGCAAGCTTCTCAGGTATATTTTCTTTCGCACTGACACCGGTCGTGACGTCTTTTCCTGTACTTTTTGAGAATACCAAGAGTGCGCGTGCATAGCTTTGACAGGCGCTGAAAATTCGCGAGAGCAGATCTTCCGAAAACTCCTAGTATATGAACGTCATGAACCGGGAAGGCGCTCGGGCTTCGGGGGGTAATTTAAAAATTAATTTCTGTACACAAAATTTTAAAAAAAAAAAAAAAAAAAAAAAAAAAAAACTTTATATTTGTGATTTTGGAGGCCGAATAAAAGCCATTAAAGTGTTTTTTTGTTTTTTTTAAAATACAGAACCGTTTTAGTTTGCAGAGTAGAAACTATATACGCCTTCAGCCTTGCTGGCTTCCGTGGTGCTTTGGTTGCGTGGGCGTGCGCGTGCACGCTTGTGTTAGCAAGCGTAGCAGCCAAATAAAAGAGCTAAAGGGTCGGTTGTTACTTGCGATCAACCAATCATAAATGGGAAAGACCATGGATATGACTCTTGTTGATTCGTGTTTGCTCTTCACTGCCATTAATTGGATTAGTTGGCACGCGGTGCATGAAACGCACGATGCACGACATTCCTAATGATTTTAAGCTGTTCGTTCATCGCAGTGAACGAAACCGACGAATCAGCGTGCGTTCTAAACTGCCCAGCATCCCAAACTCGACAGTTTTGTGAGGTTATAGTTAACCTTCAAATGTTTGCGCAAGCATGATAAAGAATCGAAATCAAAATGGTTTCAATCGTGGTTTTCAGCAGAACTTAGGTCGTGATTTGAGGTACTCCAGTTGTACTGTAAAAGTCTGTAATGATTTAAATTGTAGCGACGCTAATTGAAGGAGGAGAGGGAATGAGAATCGTGACTTAACTTGCCTCGTCGGCCGTGTTCAATCGCGCACTTATTTTCCAAAAACACTTCCGACTTTTAGAGATAGTCCTGTATCAGTGATGTTTTTCTGTTTTGCAGCGTCCCGCTTATCCGTCCAGCCTATAGTTTTGTGAGCTCGAAATTTCGGTGCAGTATCCCTTTAAAGGTGGAGGACAAATTCACGTGCAGTTGATGATGAAAACGAGCGGACCCGCTTCGCGGTTGTGATTCTAACGACAGTGTAAATGCAGCCTAAATCAACATCAAACCACTGGTGTAAATTTTTGCACCTGAAGGAAATGGAAAAAAAAACACAATAAAACACACGTAATATGATTGCAATAAACACTCCGATGTCTTTTTTTTCTGGGGGGGGGGGGGGGGGGGGGGGATGGGGGGGGGGGGAGGGGGGGGAGATTGGACCTTTTGGCCAGCGCCAACTCACCGGCTTCGTCTTTGCTGATGAGTTTAGAGACGTGCGCCAGGATCGCCACAGGCGCCACGCTCGTCAGGCATCCGAGGGCACAACCTGCGAGCCGGAACACCCCCCAAGGAACGTCTCTGAATATTCGGTGGTGACGTGCCACATGTCCTCTCTTCACTGCAGACAGTATGCGGTAGGGCGACCGGACACCGAATCCTGCAGCTTACAAAATGACTACTATATTTCGTTCCACCTTAGAATGGATTAACTGCGAAGGCTGTGCAAGCGCGAGCGGGTATCCTTGACTGCCTTGACTGGACCTCTCGCTGGATGAGCGATCGTTCAGCCGCCGAGACTCCATCCAAAGCAAATAGTTCGCGCTTTTAGCATGCGCGGCTCAATAGTCCATGCTAAGGCGAGACGAAGTATTGGGAAGAAGATCGAAGAGTGGCGCTCCCTAGCGGCCACCTCATGAACTAACGTGTGTGGCAAACAAACCCTCAGACCGCAGTCATCAGTGCGTTCAATGCCCTGGAAGACGACGACGCAAGGCTCGTCGAAGGTATACGTAACATTGTTACTTTCTCCTAAACGCATCTAGATGGAAGTAATCTAGTCCCCTCTTGCGTCCACTTTCATCGAAGTCATCAAAACAAGCGCATGTGTGGTCACGCACGGGCGTGCCGGGCCAGCCGCATGGTGTCGGCCGCACACGCGGGAAAATGCGTGACCGACGCGGCGTCCGTGTTTTTCTGAATGATTCACAAAACACGCACTTTTCAGTTACCCTGTTTCTCGCAACAATCAAGAACGACATCGGTGAAGGCAAACGGTGTCTCGTTCAAGGAGAAGACCTGTTCAACTGCGATCATGTCATCGAGTGCAGCGTTGCAACATGAGCCCACGGTGGACTGTGTCCGCATCGTCGCGTACGTGCTGCAGTCATCCGTACTGCACGTACCCGGTTCAAAAGCATGCTTCGAGCAGCAGGTGTACACCATATCGCTACGAACAAATATGCGATGCGGCCTACGCCCGGCGAGTGCTAGCCTCGGATTTGTTTGCCACACAGCGGTTGTGTGTGGTGATGATGATGATAATGAAACGGCGCCCCCATAGCTCCATCTCCTCGCCAATACATGAGTACTGATTGCGTGTAATCGTACCACGCGATGGTTGCACTGGTTGCAAGCCCACGCGCTTCACACTCCATTAATATATATATATCTATATTCCGGGTAATCTTTAGGAGATTGTTTGTAGTGGTCCGACGTCGCGGTAAGAAAACATTTTCTTCCGTCGTTTTGTGCACTGCGCGACACTGTTAGTGCAAACGAATTCCATGGCCTCCTGCATACACCAACGCGCGCTGTTGCCAAACAAGCGTGCGTTTGCCCACAAAAGGTGCGGGCATTGAGCATGCGCAGAAACGAGGCTCGCGTGAGATGAAGAGTCTGACGACAGGACATGCCAGAAAGTGCCCTCACGAATCCGCAAGCACTTCAGAAAACTTTCCTATTTTCTTGTTTGCTTTGTTTTGAAAAGTCGTTACTCTGAAACGCATAGTGAATTACTCTAGACTGACCCGAGCCACTTAACGAGCTACGCTTCAGAGGAACCATATGCTGTGGTCATCATGGTGTTTAGAAGTGTGGTTATCAGTTGCCCGAAGCACCAAAATGGCGGCGCCCGAAAGGTAGTCGGTAATAGTACTCGTAGCGTGTTGGTTCTCTACTCACCCATGTAGTACATCCAAGTGTAGTACGACAGCCCCTTGATGACGAGGAAGGCGGTCATCGAGCTGATTCCGACGAGAGCCATGACGAGGTCGTGGGCCCCGAGCAGGCGGCTGCAGACGGTGATGAAGAGACCCGAGCAGAGGATGTCCAAGGCGCCGAAGCCGGCGCTCAGGTTGGAGTACTCGGTCACGCTCCAGTGGAAACGCTTGAGCGTGTAGTAGAAGGAGATGCCCTTGCCGGCTGCGAGTTCACCGAGGACGCACTTTTGTTATGTCCTCGGGAGATTTATGAAGAGAAAAGACTGAAGTGGGCGAGAATATCGTTACATTTTCGTACTATATACCCTGTTGTAGCCCCTGGGGTGCTATGTTGCGCTTTTTGCACTCCCAGGAGACTTGGAAGAGGGAAGTGACGTCAACGACTAGAGTAAATGCAGATTGGATGTTGACAGAAGAAAACGAAATCAACACCCAATCTGCGTTTGCTGTGTCGTTGACGTCACTTCCCTCTCCCTAGTCTCCTGGGAGTGCAAAAAGCGCAACATAGCACCCCTGATGCGCCATGCTTTTCAACGTTTCAGCAAAAGAACTTTCCACCAGTGACGCCGGAAATATATGCTGTGTGTGTGCGTGTGTGTGTAAGGGGGAGGGGGAAGGGGGTGGCTGAAGCCAAGTTAAAATATTTTATGTAAAAAAATATTGCAGACATTACAGTCCAAGTTTAGTTTACTCTCCTTGCTGGTTCCTTTTTGTCCTTACACTACGTCGTGCGACGAGTGCCTGGCGCCTGCCCATTTCCACCCGTTGTCTCTTATAGTGGTTAAAAAAATGAGTAATAACTTTAAATTTTGGAGCTACGCCTACTGAATTTCGATGAAAAACAGTGTGTGCCGTGAACGCGCTCACATAGAATCCATCCGTCTTCTTTGTGCCAAGAATCGCGCGTGGCTTCAGCACTGCTGAGATACTTTTTCTGTAGTGATGAACGTACGTGTTTAGTATTAATGTTTAATGAGTCAGAGCCACGTGACCGCTGAAAGGCAACAGCCCGTACCATGGAGGCCCGCGGTGCCGCGTCTTCTAAGGATGATCATGGGCTCATATAATATACAAGATGCATGACGATGGGGCTCGTGGTCGAGGGTGCGGGTTGATGTTTCTGTTCAGCTGGTTTTGCAAAGGGTGGTGTCCGGAGGCTTCACCCGCGCGTTTTTTCCGCAATAGCGAGCACGTCTACGGTAGCTCGGTTCATCCTCTGACAATCGCTTTCGTATACACAATGCCATAAGGAACCTTGCGCAACATCAGCTCTGCACATTGCCAGCAACCAAGCCAGCACCTACAATAAGTCTTGCCGATGCCCGACACTGCAATAGAGCATATATTACTCTATTCCACGGCCGTGCCACTGCTTCCACACAGCAATATCACAACATATACCTAACATCATCATCACGATCCCGCTGTTTTGGCTCAACGCCGTGATGAAGAAGAGGACGAGGATTACGTAGCCGAGGCACCCATCGGTCGGACTGAATGCGTGGCGGGGCCCTTCTGCTCGCCCTGGCCTGGCTCCAGCAAAGTCTGGGGTACAGGCCCGAGGCCGCAGACTACGTCCAAAGGGCCCCTGCTGGACCCAACGCTGGCCATGTCCAACGGGCCCCTGCTGGTGCCTCCCTAGACTTCGCCCAACGAGACCCTGCCAGACACCCCGCTGACCACGTACAACGGGTCGCGGCTGGTCCCTCCACAGGCGACGTCCAAGAAGCACCTGCGGGACTTCCCGCTGACTACGCCCAGCGGGAACGCGCGGACTACGATGCCCGGGAGCCCAAGCCCGAGAGAATGCTCCGCCAGCAGGAGCCCAGGCGGTGCCGAGATGACGTCTACATGGACCTAAGGGCCGTCTGCGAGCAGCATCTCGACGAGATCATGCGCCTCTATACCAAGGTGAACCGCGGCAAGCCGTTAGAAAGACCGCAAACGCTTGCGAACGAAAAAGAGACCACCGACGTATTTTTTCTCTCCTCATCGTGCTCCAGAGTTTACGGTCATCTGTGAATAGCGGCCATTTTGAAATTGATTTTTATTCAGTGTCGTGGAAGATGTCGTCTCTTTGTGGACCAGAATGACGACCCCTTCGTAAGCCAGAGTGGTGAATTTTGTTTCCTTCTAGCGGGTAACATCGTTCCTTGTCTTCTTAATTTTACACCATGTAGTCGTAGGTTATTGGGGGGGGGGGGGGGGGGGGGGGGGGGGGAAGGGGGGTTATTGCCAGCGACCTTTACCTTCAAAGTCCGATAGCGCATGAAATTGTGAATTTGTCACTGTTTTCCCGCTAAATTTAGAAGGGAAACTGAATGGTTGTATATGTCACGTGACGTTAGGTCACATGACGTCGATTTTCCCGGCTACATTTAGCGGGGAAACTGGATTGGTGTCTAGGTCGAAAGACGTGAATTTTCTCGCTAAATTTAGCGGGTAACTGGATTGGTGTATAGGTCACGTGACGTCGCTTCCCCTGCTAAATTTAGCCGACAATGCTCAGACAAACGGAAGGACGAACGGTGGGACAAAATTTTGGGATTGGGGAGCGTTAAAAAAAAAAAAAAAACATTTCGTGCCTATAAAAAAACAAAAAACTTGAAGCTGTGGCGGGCGGGACATGTAGCTCCTGAGGGTGAATTTGAGCTTCGTGTACGGGGCTGTAATTCATAGCAAATTTAACCCAAAATTGCTTCAGCATTAAAGGGATTGTCCGGTGATATGCGGAAGTTACTAAGTTTATGCGCTAGTCAAATAGAGAGGGCCTAAATATAACCATATGCGATATTTATTTCATTAAAGAACGCCCCAATATTCGTTTAATCCATTATAACATCAATACAAAACTTCACGCCAATTTTGCAAGTATGCATGGCTGGTAGTGTCGTGACGTCACATCTGGCATGGTAACGTCAGAGTCGCGGGCGTTCACTTATTCCTGGTTTTGATCAACATGGTTGATGGTGCGTACAGAGATCATCGTCGAAGAATTGAGCTTTCCTCAATACCTCTAATCTTGTCTTTCTTAGAACGAAGTTATTTTATTGATACGGCAGTCAAAAGCTGTGGTGGCTCTATTTGCCTGATGTTACGTCAGAGCCTCCGCTGTTGCCAACGAAAAGGCTGTGTTTTGCAGGTGCAATCTGAGCAGCTGGGCTCTGCTTAAAATTGAATTACTTGTGCAGCGGTGGATTACAAATTCGGGTATTGTGTGGACGATATTCCTAAAAACAGTGACAGTTTAATTGTTTTCTGAAAGACAAAATATTACAGAGCAATCCCTTTAAGCGAAAAATGGGATTCAGCAGAACGGCCCAACACCGTCATAATGGTCATCATGATGAAACCAGGTGGCAACATTGCACTCCACACGATCCTTCGACTCTGGGGAAGAGGAGACTGACCTCGAGAGCTTAGCTGACGCGGTGGAGGGTAGCTTCACTTGCCGTCTCTGTGAGAATCTTGAAGTCGGTTTTACGAAGGTAGAAGGAGAAAGGGGGAGTTCAGGGAGGAGAGGGACAAGGTGCTCGAGACGCAGGTCAAGGAGCTGAACGATGAACTCAGGCAGGAACGAAAGAAGCGGTCCGAACTCGAGAATCTTGGGGTATGTTTTGAGAGGATAGAAAGAGACTGGGCAGTTATGTTCGAGGAATTAAAGGATATGTAGATTGAATTGAAAGAAGCGAGAGGTGCTAGAGGATGCCTGGCAAGGTCAGCTGGAGGAGGTGAAGGCGACGCGAAGGTCCAACAAAGATAAACATCGAAGCAATGGAATGGCAACTGGAGGTGATGTTAACAATGGAGAAGGAAGGGCGAGAAACAGTGGAAAAAGAACTAGAAAAGGCGGGACGTGAGGTGGAGAAGATGAAGGGACAGAGGGACGAGCAGTTGACGCAGTGCCGATTGTAGAGAGCTAGAAGGCAGAGGACGTAGACACTAGTGAGGCGTCAAGGGCAGCGAGGCCGTTGTACAGTACGGTGGTGCAACATCAGCTCCCCTACTCCGAAAGCCACCAAACCTACGATGCAGGAAAAATAAAAAGGAAGGGGACAGAGTGTGTTGGCGGTAGGGAGCTCTAATGTGTCTGGGTGCACAGCGGGGATCCTTAACAGGGTCGGGGGAGATGGGAAAGTAAAGGCTGCAGCCCTCTTAGGCGGGGGATAAAAAAGGGGGTGGCATTGAAAACGCCGAAAATCAAAATGCCGAATTATCGTAATGCCGAAATTTAAAAATTCAGAAAACAGAAAAGTCAAAACATCGAAACATCAAAATGCCGAAACATCGAAATGCTGGCATCACCTAGTTATAGTGGAAGATAAATTTTCTTGGCAAGATGAATTTTCCTGGCAATGTGATCAAAGTTAGGGGAAAAGTTCAGCCGGCCGATGTGCACGCGCTTTCGCCCTCTTTTCTAATAGCCATGATAGGTTGTTCCCTTCGCACGGTTCAAGCCTTCGAAAAAGGAAAAATATATTTCTGCATATCTCGTCACATAGCAGAGCGTTTCCGTGTTTATTGCATTTCAGACAGATATGTTGTGTGCAATTCCTTGAAGAAAGCTTAGAATGTTGACATTGTCTCGGTTGCCCAGAGCAGCTGCCAAACGTTTTTTGCTTCTTGCTTTGTGAGCGGCGAGATTGGCCTCTGATCGCTCCCTCGATGTCGTCTTTGAATCTAGCCTGCTCCCTTTTCATGGTGGTGATGAGCCGGAAGACGCTTACGTGGTGTCCGCCAACCATAATCTCCCATCGTCGGTGCCATGCCTCAACGCCGTTGTTGCTCCCTGGAAATCTGTTCGGAGCGTCAGTTTAATCTACTGATACTGGTGCTTTTGCAAAACGAGATAAATATAGTGTCCGTGGAAAGTGATCCGGCGGAAAACGAACAAGTGGTAGTCACAAACCACGTCGTTTCTTTTTCACGTGGTTTTCGGCGTTATGTCTTTTCGGCATTTTGATTATTCGGCATTTCAATTTTTCGGCATACTGGCGTTCGGCCTTTTCATAATTCGGGGTCTTGATTTTCGGCATTTGAATAGGGACCCTGAAAAAGGTGATGGACACGGCAGTAAAAAAGTTGACTGTAAACAGGGGAGAGGAAAACTTTATGCTGGTACATGCGGGATACACAAAATAAAGGAGTGTAGGAGAAAGGCATATAAGCATGGGTACATGAAAAGTCTGAACACTAAATGGACAAACTGAACCCGAAAACTGAAATGCAAATACCAACAGCCAAGTACAATGGCAGAACAGATGACCTCTGTGAAAAAGGAAGTAAAAGAAGCCGAGAGAAAGATGTGGGAGGAAAGAATGCAGGGAAAGTCAGCTTTAACTATGTACAGGGGACGAAAAGAGGAAATAAGGAAGGAACATTGGTATGATCAATCACGGAAGAGCTCGTTGCATTTCGAGGCTAGTACGGGAGTATTGGAGACTAGGACTCATAGGACAGAGTATGAGGAAATGGATATGCGCTTTGCCGTATGCTAAGGGCGAGACGAGACAATAGAATGTGTGGTGTTGAGGTGCACAGGGCTTGCTGCCGCCCTAGCTCCCGCCCTAGCTTCCGGGGGGGGGGCGCCGGATTTATGCGGAGCGCTGGGGTTTGCATACGAGAATGGATGATAAGTGCATTTTAATAACAAAGAGGAGATTGGAAGATGGTGGCAATTATCTAGGGAGAATTGAATGACGTACAACTAACGGACACAGCTGGGAACAGGCGGGACAGAGAAAAATTGGGACACCCTCCCGCGTGGCTCCGGCCCAAAGTCTCCACCACGTCACCCAGTGAGCCCAGTGACGGGGTAACGCCGACTAGGTTTGACAAGAGAAAAAGTGGCGACTCCCTCGCCAGAGAAAACGTGAAATTTTTAGTTTATTTTTTTTTTCTCGATCTCCCGAAGGTTATTCTGATGATATCTCACACCGCCTGGTGATAGTTACGAAATTGCCGGGGTTAAGCAAATTGACGAAGGAAAGAAATCATACTTTTAGCTCTTACTTCTAGGCTAGGTGGCGCAAGCTACCACCCCATATAAAAGGTACAGTCATTAGCCTTCATCCATCCATCCATATGAGATACCGCTGATCTCCCCCAGCTCTTGATTGTCAGTATAAAAAGCTTCTAATTTGTCTGATGTGAACAAGGAGGATAGAAGGGTAGGAGAGGGTATGACGTCGGCCACGTAGCCTCCACAAGGCATGCTCCCTTGACGCCTGGCTTCTTTCTCATTTTCCTCCTTACTCTCCTCACTTACCATGCCAACATGACCACATCACGTGACCGTAGCTAGCCTTCGTCTTGCTCTGGGGTACTAGAATACACCACAGTCTAGTCTTCGATCTGATAAAACCTACCGGACGGAGCGCGCACAAGCCTGCAGGGAGTCTTTCTACAATCAACCACCCATCTCACACGTGACATGTCACGCGCACCAATTGCCAGACAGATCTGCGGTCACGCAGGGCACAAAATCGTTTAAACTTTTTATGACTAGGCTTCACCAATATTGCAACGTGCCCTCTCCTAGTACTTATAACCTTCTTGGATGTGAAGCGCACAAGCCCTCATGTTATCCTCAGTCTCCTGACATCTTGAAGGGAGTCATAACCGTGCATGGGCATTGTCTTACACGCAGGGCGACCACGGCCAGTCATGCAAGCGACTCCGCCAGTACACAAGCTGCGTGGGCCGGGCCCTGAACCGAACACACTGCAACCGGGTCCCCGAGCTCGAGCAGCGGGAACGACAGCGGCTACGGGCCAACGTCAACGACTATAACTGGAGCTGCTCCATGAGCAAGCAGGAGTACGCCGGCTCAGGCGGCTGCGACGGTCGGGCGATGATCAACCAGCACATGAAGTGCGGCTCCACTTTCCAGACCACCGTGAGCTCCATCAACGTCTACATGGAGGGCGACAGGGCCTGCCGCGCCGTCAAGGAGTACAAGGCGTGCGTGAGGCCCATCTTCCAGAGCGACAACTGCCAGGCGAATCAGGAACTGATGGATCGGCTGCTCCGATTTTCGCACACGGTGCTCAAAGAGTTCAGCTCTGCTTGCAGCAACGACAGGAAAGACGCCGGGGTGTACCAGGACGCTCCGCCTCTTAGAAGAGATGCACAGCCCGAGGACGACGAGGAGACCCCGAACAGAGTTTGCCGTTTCGAACAGCTGCGACAGAAGGTACTGCTGTGCCAGAAAGAAGGTTACAGCATCATTCGGACGCGAGATGCTCACGCCAAGACGGACATCTGTGAGGAGCTCAGGGTATTTCGTGACTGTGCTGTCGGGGCACTGAAAGGGACCCACTGTGCCAAGGAAAAGAGCGCCCGACAGTTCGTGGTGACCACAATCCGCGAGTCCTTCTCCAGGTTCGGCATCGAATGCACGGGTCTCTGGAACTCGGCGACACGCTCGTCGATTGGCGATCTGACGCGTGTCGTGTTGGCGCTCAGTTTGTCCGCCATGTTGCTAAGAAGGGCTTAGTTTAAATCCGACCCTCTATTAAAAATATAACCCTCGGAGTCAAGATAAAGATTCTATGTCCGCCTCTTGAGCTGTGTTTAGCCTGCTAATTAAGGAAATCGATCACGACATTCCTTGTAGAATTACAATACATATTCAAGGCCGCGTGCGCTTTTCCGAACGCGACACCCAATTGTGCTATACAGAGAGTGATGTAGCGTTTCGAGACATATGACGCAGTCCACCTTGAGGTTTCAGGAGTTCCTAATGCGATAATCAAGCCAGCACTGCAAAGTATGGAACGACGAAGATGCGATAACCTGGACTGATGCACCGATAGCGCAGATGGCGCACGATTATGAAAGGTTAGATGAGCTTCAGAAGTCGATATATACGTTGGAAGTGCAATAGACCCTTTCCGGAATTCAGTACCATCTGGTGACTCAAATGGCAGTTTAACTATTTTACCGTATTTATGGCGGAAATGGACCTGTGGCCTGCAGTGTTTTATGGGGCACCGTCACTTTTGCAAGTCAACGGTAAACGAGAATGTGTGCTTCACTGTGCAGTTATTTTTTAATCACTTTCAGTGTCGATGGCGAAAAAGATGCAACCGGTCAAAACGAAGCGCCAACCCACATAGACGCCTTGATAAAGTTCTATACATCAAGGGGCTTTGAAGCCGAATGTGTGCTACTAACAGATTGACTGGGCCCGAGTTGGAAATGAACGCTTACGCAGCTCTTGCATCCAATTCCTGCTTCACGTCGTGCTAACGTCTACTTTGTATAGGCTTGAACCATCTGCTTAGGACCATGGGTCCTATGTTGCGCTTTTTGGACTCCCAGGAAACTAGGGAGAAGGAAGTGACGTCAACGACACAGCAAACGCAGATTGGATGTTGAAAGAAGAAAACGAAATCAACACCCAATCTGCGTTTGCTGTGTCGTTGACGTCACTTCCTTCTCCCTAGTCTCCTGGGAGTCCAAAAAGCGCAACATAGCACCCCATCTTTAAAATCTTCCTTCATTACTAAACAGAAGGCCGCCATTAGTATAGCATAGTGCCACTAAATAAGCTACGCTTCAGAGTAACGACACTCAGCCATATTGTGTCGTAAAATCATGGTTGTCAGTTATCTGAACCTGTATCTGAAATCACAGGCAATGCTTTTCCGCCCTCCACAACTTTTTCAACAGTTCGTGACAGAGCAAAGCAATATTGCCTGACCTTCCTTACAGCGAATCTAACCCCGAGGAAATCGATCTTTCGAAACATGACGATCGGCAGTTGCGTCTGTTCGGCATACGAGCCAAAATGGCGGCGCCCACAACAATGCCGGGGAACGGAGTGCCGATACTCTAAGCGCAGTTCATTTAGTGCCTCTAGTATAGCACATATGCTATATTTCAGATGATGATAGTGATCAAACTGGCCATACTGAATTCGGGAAAGGGTCTATTGCTCGTGGCGGTGCAGGAGAATTGGTTTATGCTTGCAAACTGATGATACAGCGCTCAGTAAACAAGGACAGATATATGCAGCAGACGGGAGGAGCGCTCGTCCTATCTACTGCATATCTCTGGGCCTTATATTTATGGCGCGCGGTATCACCATTTGTAAGCACACTACAAAAACTGACAGCAGTACCGGAACGTTTTTGATAACGACGATCGCTAGCCCAGCGTATGACGTCCACAGCAACTGAGCAGCAATGAGAAATCCCACTCGGACGTCATTTTGGCAGTAATTTTTTTTACCTAGCCTGCTCAGCTCGTGCTGACCATGGACTTGCTGAAACTTACGCGTAATTTTATTTACATCGCCCACCTTGTCTTTCACGGGATAAGCAAGCCTAGCCAAGCATACTACGTCGGACCAACACGTGAAAATGCCGTCTAATCGTTGTGCTATGTGGCGACGTGGTGGCGACAACCACGTCATTGCATTAGTGTCTCCCTTCCCAATTTCGCATTATGACCACTGATTATAAAGAAAGACGGAAGGAAGGGTACCAACTTTCAGCATTAAACAAGATGACTCCTAGTGACAAGGCCAGGAGACAGAGCCGATGTCTCAGACCGTGCGGCCTCCATCCAAAAGCAGCGTCGAAGCCCTCCTTGAAGTTGCCAACCCGGAGGTCCTTCAGCATGCCCCTCCAACCTGCTGACGAGTCGGAAGTGCCCACGTTGAACACCACCACCATGCCTAGACTGAACATGACCAGTCCCACGGACACGCAGTACACGGGAAGGTAACCTCCAGCACTGTAGAGTTCGCCAGAAAGCAACTGGCCTGTCTGCACACCCACCAGGAGTGCACTCATGACGAAAAGAAACTTCACAGCCCTCATGTCTTCCCTCGAGGACCTCGATGCGTTGCTCTCCACGATGGCCGTCATGCAGACCATGCCTCCGGTCATGCCACAGACGAGCCCCAAGAGTACGTTCACATACATGGGAGTCCTGAAGAAGACCACCGTCAAGATGGTCCCGCTGTCCAGGATGGCGGCTCCGGCCAAGTTGAACAGTAGGGGTATTCGATTGCCGTGCTTGTCGTACCACGAGCTTAGGAACACGGAGACGACGGAAGCCGGCACGAACTCGGAAAGCACGAGAAGTAAGTTGTGGACGTTTGCGATCTTGGTTACGTTGTCTCGCACGGTGGCGTTTTGAAGGTCGAGTCTGTCACACACGTCATCCGGGTAGCTGGAGAGACAGGACTTGGCGATGAACAGTTGCTGGGTCACCACGAAACGCATGGCGAAAGTGGTCGTGTAGAAAAACAAGATGAATTCCAAGCTGAGGCTCTTGAAGAACGGGATCCATCGCTCCCGCCAGGAGATGGCACCGTCCTCTGCTGGCACGACGACTGCGTTACTTTCTTCCAGTACAGTTCCGAGGGCTACGGGATCTTTAGAGATGGGCTTTGCGGAGTTCATCTTGGTGCTTTTGGACGTAGATTTTCGATAGGCGTCGACGTGAACCGCGAATGCAGCTCAAGGCATGTTAGCCCTAGCTGAAGGGGAGCGTCCACGTTCGGCGACGACAAAAAAAGCACTGCTAGCTACCGGACTAGAGCAGATACGAGTATCGGGACCGATAAGAAGCTGCAGTTTTCGCCTGACTCGTCTCTACGGAAACGCGGCTTTTACCGATACGGCCAACGATACAGAGATCTTCCTTACTTGCACGACTTATCGCCTGTTTGTTTCTCTCGTGTATTTGACACTCGAATAATTCTTTTGTTATCGCTTGCACCAGCAGGAACTGCGGAAAAACACGCTCAAATTTTATGCTTAATCTCCGGCTATCCTCGGCCACCACATGGTCAGTTTAGCAGCACGTGTACACACGGTGTCGGACGTAACATCAATATACACTTGACAAAAGACAATGCAATCTCGCGTGCAACATTAGTCAACGCCGCGAATTGACAGGGACGCTACGCAGCTTGTGCTCACATTATCCGCTTCTCGATAAGCACGAATTTTCTGTCTGTTATTAGAAGTGGTTTTGCCAGGAACGAACACGCTCGAAGCACGGCTCACCGGTCTATTGTAATAATTCGTTATACGAGCAAATAATTCGTTATACGAGCGAATAATTCGTTATACGAGCGAATGATTCGTTATACGAGCGAGCCATGTATGTGGCGTTTCCCAAAAGTCATGCTAACGCATTCCCCAAGGATTCACCAATAAACATTCCATTATTGTTTTTTTTTATTTTAAAGATTTAAAACGCAATAAAATTAACTCGAATTTTAGAGTATTGGGAACCTAACAAAAACAAACTCAGATAAACCCCGAATTTACAGCAAAAATAAACTCCGAACAAAACCCTCCGAATTCCACCAGAAATAAACTCCGAAAACACGAAATCCTATCTACGGCACAGCATGAAAAGCATTTTTTTTAGGTACTAACGTTTATTGGGCAGAGATATGCATTGCAACTTATAACCGAGCCTTTTCCTTGGGCAGGCATTCCGTTTAATAGGCGCTAGTTGTGGTGTCCTTCCGTGTTTCTCAGAACGCCGAGCGCGACTTTAATTCGCGATAAATGTTCATACGAAAAAAAAAAAAAATAATAATAACATCAGGTGTTGCTAAAGTAACTGACAGGATAAGAGCGGCAGGGCGTCCTTTTCGAATGCCTGACCTCCAGCACGCGATCGTTGCCCTCAGTCGTGCTTTGTCCGTGCGTGCACGCTCGAAGCTCACGAGACGCCGAAGCATTATCGAAGGCAACAAGGTTGCGCTGGAAGCGGGACAACCGAAGAAGCTTCCTGCCGTTCTAGGCCTGTCACTAACTACAGTAACAAGCACAATCCCCAGGAGTCCACGATGCAGCAAGTATTATTATTTGTTTCCTTTCGAGCAACTTTCGGCTGCTCCTGGTCAAAGTGCACAGTCACCCGTGTTCAGAGACAAGCACTCGTGTTCGTATTGAAGAACGCCCGAGAATAGATGTTGCAGGAGTGAGGTCGTGGACACGAGGGTCACGTACGTCATCGATGTACACGCATCGCGGTCTCGGAGGTGGTGAGGGAGAGACAAAACAAACACGCTATTTCTCCAGGTCAGCGGAGGACACGTCGGTGTGGGTGTAGTGGTTGTACGTCCAGTCTTCGCCAACCGTCGTCTTGATTTCTGCGTCTTTGGGGCACGTCAAACAGGGACAGCTTTGCTCCCTGTACACGAACCAACAGTACCTGCGGAGATGGGCGCGCATCTATCGTTAGTTTCTGTGGAGGCTTGGACGTGGCTCGAGGCTTCATAATACTTAAACTACAGGGAGAAAAAAGAAAAGGACAGCGCTACACGAATTATTTAAGTGTTGTGCTGCACGCGGTTTTCTTCTATAAGCGCGTATGGTTCTAAATCATGTCAATCCAGTTCACCTGGGGATTTACTGGTGAATTTGTACGTGTGAGTTGTGGTGTCTGTCCGTCCTGGTAATGTGCCCTTTCCGGATATCGACGCCGTAAGCATGAGGACTTAGCGAGTTTAGCAGAAGAAAAAGCGGAAGGCGAGTTTCCAGACTGAGCCACATGAAAATCGTTATAAAGTGAAACCTTTCAGGTCAGACACCTCAGAAACTCGGACACTGGGACAAGCACGTTAAATACCAATGCGGCCTACGCACGTGTATAGACTCTGCAGTATACAGCTAGTGCGAACGCGACATCGGCACCTTTAGTCAGATGTGGTATTGAAGAGGGTCAAACGTTTTCGCCTTAATTAAGATTAGAATGAGCCATTTCCAACACAAAACTAGTTTTGATGGCATTTTTTTTCTAATTTACGGAAAAGTCAGGAAGAACTGGCGACTGCTTGTTCGCATTACCTCTTTGTCTCAGGCAGCGTATTACCATCACGGACGATGTGAGCGTGCACGGTCTGACGCTTCTTTGACGTACTTCCCTGTTTTTATGAAACTCTGGTTCAGATCAGAGCTGAACCACGAAACTTACCTTCCACTATTAAAACTCCTTGATAAGTTGTGAATTGATGGAACATGTTGGGCTAGGCGTATACCAAAAGACCATGATCAACGTCAACGCCTCCGAACACCACCGCAGACAGTCGGGACGCTTACACGACGGAGAAGAACGGGTAGAGTTCGAAGAGGACGTAGATGAAGTAGGGTAGGCCCGGGTAGAAGCTGATGCAGGCGTTGTAGACCTGGGAGCCGAACACGTAGCCCACGATCGGCGTCAGGGCCTCCATGGCGATCCACACGGAAAACACCTGGGCTGTGAACGAGCGCCAACACCGCGCCGGACATAAGCACGCCGGCCGCACGATTCACTTCACCGGCCACATTTGCGCGGCCCGTTCGTTTCTATACGCGGCATTTCATCAACAAAACCTGAGCTCGAACTCTTGGATCCCTGGAAAGACCGTACAACGGCGCGCGACAAAGTTTCCTCGACGCGCAGAGCTCGCGCCACATAGCGTTCGTTTTACACATTCGTTTCACACATGGTGAAAACGAGCCTTCGAAAGAATCAAAACAGGCACGGATAGCTGCGTCAGCCAGACGGCCGTTTATTTGCACTCTAAGGAAATCGAGTTTTGTAGTTTTCAGTGACCGTAGGTCTTGAGCTACTCCCGTGTCCCTTAGCTCGTCATTCCCGCGTGCCGCCTTGAGGCCTTGATCTTGTTGTTTTTAAGCGCTTTGTTCTTATCATTTTTGACGGTGATTGCTGTGGCTGATTTTTGTGTGTTTCTTCGATAAACTTTTGTGGTTGACAGTCAGCGCTCGTCCCGTCCACTTCTTCTACACGTCTCTGTGCTTGTTGCGCAGTTTTCTCGATTTAGCTAAGAAAAAGTGTAAATGAAGCTTATCGAGGGGATTTACGCGTAGCAACAACGGGAACGAAACTTCCCCAGGGCTGTGGTTGTCTCGCTGGTAATCTGTTTGCCACGACGAGCATTACCCTTGTCATGGTAACTTTACACCATCAAACACTTAGAATCAAGATATAGGTAGGAATGGCCATGAAGACTATAAAATGGCGTCAGGCGCCAACCACGAATAGATCAACAAAGAAGAAAGAACCGAAAACAATAAAAATTGTCCTAGTTTTTTTGGTTTTTTTTTAATGGAATTTAAACGCGGTGCAAAGGTACAGGCCATTTCTTTATCCGTGTTTTTGTTGTTGTTGTTTTTAGGGGAAACGGAAAAAAATGAAAACTAGCTCGTGCGCAGTAAGGAAGGCGTACCGAGAACAAGATGTTCCCTTACTGGTTTCGTCCCGGTCAAGAAGTTTCGAAGCGTGCGATTTGATGCCGATGGGTGCAGAGGCGTCTAGCGTTCCCAAGATGTAGCCTGCGTCAAGAACAAAACCGGTAGCGTTTCGCGTTATCGCTACAACGCACATGTTGATACTTCTTAACGGTAAAATTTGGACGAGCGTACTATTTTGTAGAAACGGTTGATCTCGAGCTCATCGGCCCATTTAGCTCAATTGCCTTCTTGTCCAACAACATCACGAGAATATTTCGCTCAATACGAGTACATACATGAATCTCGGAGCTCGTCGATGGTGACTATGACAAGTTGCAAAGCGAGCGGTCACATTACAATTGAGTTACCGTCGCTTCATTTGGTCATCTTATGACTGGCTTCTCCCTTTTCACCAGTTGCAGTTCTTGGAAAGCACTGCCAGTCGAGGAAAGATAGCACGCAATCGCGTGACACGTGGAACGTCAGCGTGGTTGCGTGGTGGGTCACGCGAGTGATGTGTAATGAACCACCTCTCAAAATCAAGGTTCGAAGGCAACCGGATTACAGTATACACTGAAACTCTCCTGTATCACGAGATACCGAGCTGAACAAGTTCTTGCGAAGGATGCTTTCGGCTAAGATGGCGCACGCACGATTCAACTGTAAACTGTATCCGGTTCTCTCAAACAACTAAATTAAACAAAAACAAACAAACAAAACAAAAAGAGCCCAATTGCATTCTTTCAATCTTGGTCTTCAAGAGAGTCGCTGATTGGTTGCGGCTCTTCCATGTGTTCCCTGACTGATACTGAAATTCCACATACTTTCAACTGTTCTGTCTCGCTAACTGGCTTCCCTCACATCAACGTTGCATGAGTGTGTAATCACGATTAACAAACACCGCAGAAAGCTGACAGCTTGTTGCCCATAATGGTGCATTGCACCAAAATTGTAAAAAGAAAATAAAATAAATAAAGTTAAGTTATACACTACAGCAAGCATGGCGCCTCACTGGTGCCCCGTGGGTGCAAGCATGTGCAGCGTGCGCGTGAGCGTAGCTTTGGTAAGCTTGTAATGGCGCGCACATGCCCGCACCAGCTGAGACATGGCGACGAACCCTGCTTGCAATCGGACTGAACTCTGAATTTCTTTCTCTAGAAATGATTCTTGCGCAGTCACTCCCGAAGAGGCACAAGCTGATACAAAAGGTGCAGAATTATAATTACAAAAGTAACAGTAGTAGACGTACCAGGGTGGAGAATAAAAATTAAGATGATTCGTACCAGTTTCGCTGTAATGATTTCCGTTCAAACCATTCCCTTATAAATAGTTTCCACGATATATTTTTGTTAGTTACAGGGTGTCTCTCGTTTCATGCGTTCTATGTGCATCTGTTTTGTATCTAAATCGAATAATCATCAGGCAAGAAAGATTGTGGTTAAGTAGGCTGAACATGAGCAAAAAGCAGTGCTCTTATGAACGGATCGTTGAGCTTGCTTTCTATCTTCCAGTTCGCTGGTCAGTTATGTGACGTTTTATGGAAAGCGAATATAACACGACAGAAACAAAAACAACGCGCTCTAAGAATGGGCCTTGCAATAATGTTTGGTCTTTCGTCAAATAACTGTGGTAGTTGTTCCCGTCACGTCTGTATTAAAGAACCGAACAAAAAAATTGCCTACGCACGTTATGTTCTTTATAAAAAAAAAAAAAAAATCAAATAATGCGACATTGTTTTCCGAGTCACGTGCGCAGTGACGCGCAAGGGAGGCAGGTAGTATCCGGTTGGGTTCTATTAAAAAAAAAATGTGTTGCTTGTATGTTTACGACTGAATTCACAAACCTCACACTTCCTCAAGGAAGGCGCGAGGGAAGGCGCAGGCCAATCGTGACGCGACGACTTGTCTCCTAGCTGTATATGAGAAATGTAGCCAGTGCAGTACGACCGCTAGCCTGGGGTCCTTAATGTGCACCACGCAATAGTGATCACACGTACGCGTGCCGGTACGAAACTCATCCAGATCGAAACGGGCAGGGGCTGGGGATCAAACCCAGAAAGTTCTGCAGCGCAAGCTTTCGCTTGCGCTGCCTTTCAGCAAGGAAGTTCGACTGACGTTCTAGGGCAACAGGCTAAGGATCAAAGGAGGAATTGATTTGCTTTTTGTTCACCTCGGGAAGATGGTTGATGATATGAGGTTTTTTACGCATTTACTCATGTTGAAACAAAAATATTTATAAAACATAGCATTATATTGAGCAATATAGCATAAAATATAGCATTAGAATGGCACATATCGCCAACTTATAATGTCATACCCATTGCGCGTCATGTCTTAGTTCCGACGGCCGCCACACCGCGGCTGCAAGTCGCGACATAGTCCAGTTCTTTTCTTCGCTATTACGCAACGGAATTGAGATATCTCAAAAGAATAAGGCGGTTTCTCCAGTCCTTCGGTAAGATAAATTTAAGTATCGCTGGATTTTCATGAAAAAAATCGTTAAGAGCAGCTTAAATGCACTTTAATTGACCCCGTAAGCGATGACGTCACAACCATTGCATATCCGCTCCAAACATACCCAGAGTGCCCCGAGAGATCGTCGCGATTTCAGACCCAGGCGGACTGGGTCTGAAATCGCGACGATCTCTCGCTTGTAACGGCTAAGGGCATCGCACGAAAGACTTTGGTAGAGCCCAGTGGTGACGAGCGCAGCGGTAATTATGGCGGCGCACACGGTCGTCCATGCGTCGTCGCGTCGTGATTATACACAGTGCGCGGAACACACACACAGCACGCACAAGCACAGTATCCAGTGTTGAGTGCATCGGGAAGTTCCGGCGGGCAAGCGGTATTGTTCAAGTGTTGTCACCAAGCACACCAGTGCATCCATATGCCGAGCCAAACTGCAATGGGTCGGCAGCTTCACACTAAATAAAGATTCAAAGCCGAGGTCAGTGGGTATCCATGCAGGGCACGGCGTAAGATCCAGGGCAACGATGGGCGCGTCAGTATCCGTGCGCCCGCAGCGCGAAAGTCGCAGCCGATCGAGCGCCGAACGACCGTCCGACGAGAGCGAAGAACAAACTAAAAACTGACTCCAGTCTCGGAGACAAAGCCAGGCGCGCGCACGGAGAACGCCCGCTCGCAGCGCCCGCGTAACGGATGCGCATTTCCCTAAAGGGGTGTCCAAACAGGACACTACAAAACGCACGACTCCGACAAATCGTGAAAATTGAAGCGGACGAATTGAAGCGGGCGCGAAGCGGGCGCGTCCGCTTCAATTTTCACGATTTGTCGGAGTCGTGCGTTTTGTAGTGTCCTGTTTGGACACCCCTTAACACGTAACATGCGAGAGACCGCGGAAGTGGCGGAAGTGCCGGTCCCCCCCCCCCCCCCCCCCCCCCCCAATCCACCCCTCCCTTTCCTCGTCCAGTCACGCATGTGCGATGAGTGCGCGCCCGCTGGCTGGGAGCAGACCCTCCTGGAACAAGGGGAGCGGATCGGATTCACCGATCACCGTGCGATTCCAGTGCGTTGCGTCTCACTGGATTCGACTGGTTGCACCCAGAATCGCGCGGATCGGAACTGTCCACAAGTTTAGAACCCCGTGGATCCGAACTGGAACCGCTCCGATCTGACATTTCCGTACGGGAGGCTTCCTTCATCTAATATTTTTAGACGTTTATAGTCCACGTCTAATTTTTGACCGATCGTTCTTTCGGAGCGGAATCCAGTCCCATGTATTTGCCCATTACAACGCCCCTTGCAACGGTTTGTTTGGAACAGTGACGTCACACTTACGGGGTCAATTCTTTCGTCCGTGTTTTTTCTGTAATATGTTAGATTGATCAGTCAATGTGTCATATGTCTGAACATATATCTAGTGATAAATAATCATTTAGCCACAATTATTTAAGTTAAATAACTCTGATTAATATCAGATAAATAGATTTAAATCGAATTAATCCAAATTAATTTGATCGATTTGATTTTTTTTTAATTTTGATTTTTCCACCCTGCGACGGGCCATCAAAAAATTCTTCCGTTGGAGGGGGCCCTGTCAACACCTCATAACAAGGCCAGAGTGTTAACTTTTCTACGTCACTTGCCGGAGGCCAGCAGGGGCACAGAACAGACACGAGCGCAGCACTCGTATACCCAGCTGTGCGCCGTGGACCTTCGGTACATGCTGAAGAAACTCTAGCATCACCGCCTTGCTGTCTAGCAGGTGTTAGCCCTGTCTCGCTACAATGAAGAGTACTTCGCTACTTACTCACATAGAACAGAACTTCGTTGTTGGCCACGCCCGTAGCGATGCTCTGGAGGATGCCTCCGCAGATCCCGATGAACGCTATGGTACAGTCAGACAGGCGCAGGGCCAGGTTGGCCACAATCACAAAAAACGAGACGCTCACCATCCGAAAGAGCAGGAAACACGAATTGATGTCCGAGTACTTGCTCACGTCCCAGTCGTACATCTTCTTCGCGTAGAAGAAGTTGATGCCGCGGGTGCCCTCGGACACGAACAGAATGACGCACATGGAGGACATGAGGAGGAGTATCTGGGCGCGGCCCCTGTTGGGCCTCTTCCTCACGCAGACGAGGATGCCGTTGATGAAGTTCCGAAAATGCAACAGGTCCCTGAGCATGGTCCGCCAGCCACTTTTTTCCGATTCGACGGGATTCTTCAGCATGGCCATTATCCAGACCAGGCAAGCCAGAAGCATGCTGGCGGACACGATGAAGACTGGAAGGTAGCCACCGGCCCTGAAGATCTGTCCGGCCATGAACTGGCCGCAGGCCATGCCGATCATGGCGGACATGAGAACGATGAGGAACTGCAGCGTTCGCGTATTGCCCTTTGTGGACATGGAGGCGTTGCTGCAGACGGCCATGAAGACGCACACTAGGCCACCGCTGAGGCCGTTGGGAAGGCTGCATAGCACGTTCGCGTACATCGGGGCTTCCATGTCCACTACGGTGTAGATGGTACCGAGGTCTTGCAGGATGCCGCCTACTGTCGCTACGAAGATGGGCAGACGGTGACCGTACCTGGGGGCACAACCGGAAAGACCGTTTGAGAACACCAGTAGTCGAACAGACCTCCGAATAAGATGTTCGTTCGCCCAGCATCCAATCTGGTATCTACTCGTTGGCAGAATGAAAACGGCAGGGCGCCCCTTTTGGATGTCCGGCCACTAGCACGCACTCGCCCGTTGCCTTCCGTCGTACTTTGGCTGCGTTGCATAACCTATTGAGGCTCACGGACATCGAAGCATTATTGAAGGGTAGAAAGCTCGCGCTGAAGGCGGGACAACGCTCCCCGTCGTTCTAATGGTTCTGGAATTGATGAAAGAGTACCAGCCCAAACGTGCTGCCCGAGCATTTTTTTTCGTAATGGGTTCGGGTTACGTTACTTCTTTTATGCAGAGCCCACATGGCAGAACCTGTTAAGCTGAGTCATGCTCGAATGATGATGACACCAAACTGGGTCAGGTACTATTTGGAGCATGTCTGAACTAAGCCCCATAAATAAGATTAAATACGTTTACAAATCTCTGTAACTCGAAATTAGAGCGCAGCTCTTGAGGAGGAGGAGGGTAGGGTATGCCCTTCCTCCATTCCTCCTCCACCTCATATTTCCTGCTCCTCAACGCTCCCTCCTCTCTACCCTCCCCCTTTCCTGCTGCTCCTCCTCTCCCCTCCTTTTTCATCCTCCTCCTCTCCCCTTTTCCTCCTCCGTACCTTCCCCTCCTCCTCCTAAGCACGTGACGTCAATTTTTCCCTACATTTAGAGGAGAAACTGAATTTGTTCATAGGTAACGTGACACCAAGTCATGTGACGTCATTTTCCCCGCTAAATTTACGAGGAAACTGAATTGGCGTTGAGATCACGTGGCGTCAATTTTCCCCCAAAATTTAGCGAGGAATTGAATTGTTGTTGAGGTCACGTGAAGTCAATTTCCCCGCTAAATATAGCGGAAAAACTTAATTTGTTCATAGATGACGTGACACCAAGTCATGTGACGTTATTAGTATGGCAATTTGGGCCAGTTGGTTCATGACCGACCGCTTCATTGTTTACGTCTGTTCTTGCACTTGTGTTTTTTCGGCGCCTGTCGACGATCACGTGACGTCATTTTCCCCGCTAAATTTAGCGGGGATTGAATTGGTGTTGAGGTCACGTGACGTTCATTTTCCCACTAAATTTAGCGCTGCTACGCCGACGGCGACGGCGACGCCGCTCAACCCGGAAGCAAACGCCAACGAGCTGCGATCTAAAAAAAAGTAAGGCGAATTATTGTTTGAATATTGCTCCTTGCCGGGGTCTTCGTCCAAAAGTGGTACCTTGCGAGCGGTGAGAGGGAGGCTGGAAGAGAGGGAAGCGCGTCGGCCAATCACGGTGTCACGTGAACACACGCGATGTCGTCATTGACCGACGCCTCGACCCCCCCTACTTTTTTCCCTCAACCCCCCCCCCCCCCCCCCCCCCCACCCCAATCTCTAGTTACAACGCCTACACACACACGCACACAGACGCCTTCGCTCAAAAATTACGTCGACCAGCCAAGGAGAGAGAGGCTGGAAAGAGGGGAAATACATTTTTGTTTACGGGGCTTTAGGCAGAACTGGCAGAACCAGCTCAGCTGTCAGGTCGGGCTGGTCAGCCGACGAAGAGGCAGTAGGTTCCACTTACTTGTCGCACCAAGGTCCCAGAAAGATGGAGAGTATGGCGGCGGGCGTCAGCTGAACCAGTAGAATGAAGAGACTGTAGTTGTTGGCCACCCTCTCGATGACGTTCTTGGTCTCGGAGAAGTTTGAGAAGTTGGCGCACAGGGCCGGATCCAGGCCGAGGTGGTATCGACACGTCTTGGTGAGCAACAGGTCTTGGGTGATGAGCAGCCTCATGGCGTACGACATGGTGTAGGCGAGCAAGAATACGCACAGCGTCGTGCTCTTGACTACCGCCACCCAGACATCGCTGAGGTGCAGCGAAAGGACGGCATTGCTGCGACAGGGGCACGGGCCGGGCTTGCTGGTTTCGACTACTTCGACGGACGCGCTTCGACCGCATGAATCTTCGGCTGGCGACAGGCTGGCTGACGTAGATCCCTGACCCAGCGTCATGGAAGCGCCGCTGCCCGATTACCACGGAGGAATGGCCGTGGCGGGCATCGCTGCAGAATTACGTTCGAATTAAATCCTTAGATACTGTCTGCCTTCTATAGCAGTGGGGTATGTCCTTGGGGCATGTCCGAACATCAAACACAAAGTTGTTGGCCCGTCCTCCGTATGTTAGGAAATGAGCGGAGGACGACAAAAAAAAAAAAAAGAGAGAATATACATAATTTTTTGTGCACGTAAACCGCGCTCTCCAGTTCTTGTTTTCTTCGTTTTGCAACTCTGTGCAAAATTTTCAGCCATGCTACAGATGTTGACCAAGTTTAAAGAATGTTGCAATGTTCATAATTTAGGCTGTACACAAGAAATTCTAGGATGGGTAAGCTAAGGCCGGCAAACCTCTAGGATAACGGCGCGTCTGTGGTATATCTTACGGATCTTATGGTACGCACGTTGATGTAGCGGGCCCCAAACTATGCATCAAGTCAGACACGCCGCCATGTTTGAACTTCGAGGTCGCTACCTCAAATAATCTAAAGGAAAATAATATTATTAATTTTTCAGAACGGGCCTGGTGTGCTGAAAGTCACTGCCTTTCCATGCAGATAGAGAAGTGGCTCAGAGACTCACGGAGTAAAGCTGGTAGGACCTTAGATGACGCTGAAGACGTGCGATGGTTGGCCCGAGGTCCTCCTCTTCCTCAGCCCTGGCTTCATCCGCGGCGCTGTTCGGACATCACCCGGTAATTTGACAGACAGCTCGGCAACGCACAACTGCGTACCAGCTGACTCAGCGCGCCCCGCTCGAGGCCGCTTCGTTTCTTTCGGTTTGCTAAACCCATTTAACGAATAAACCAATCACGAATAACCGCAGAATATTTAAACAGCATGGGGAGGATACTGTCTCCATTTAGATCTTCAGTTCTGTTCCATCGCTGTGGAGGCGACATTCGGACCAAATAAATTCGTTGCGTGGACGCGCTCGTGCAGAGGGAAAGTTCGTCTGCTTTCGGATGTGGCGCTGATGGCGCTATGAGCCAGAAACTGAGAGAGAGGAGGAGACGAGAGCGCGGGTGAGGTCTCACCCTCTCACCTTAGCATGGACTATTGTTAGCCGCGCGTGCCAAAAGCCCGAGCTAGTTGCTTTGGATGAAGCCTCGGCGACTGCACGAGCGCTCGTGAGCGAGTGCTCCAGTCAAGGCAGTCGAAGCTAGCCGCTCGCGCTTGCACAGCCTTCGCAGTTAATCCGTGCTAAGGTGAGGTGAAGTATAGACTGTAGCCGAGCTCCGATTCGAACGATTGCTGGATAGACCCATAGTCTCCTCTATACTCTCAAAGTCTAGCAGTTCGATGACGGAGCTACAGTGTTCTAGAAGATGTAGTGGCAAGAGCGGCGCCCGCTTACAATGAAGCGCGTGAAGACGGTCGATGTAGATACCGCGAGTGGCGCTGGAGTTCTGTGCCCTAGGAGAATTAATGGCACGTGTGCGATAAACGAAGAAGACGACGAGGGTGACGCGGTACGCTTCTCCGAAATGTATCACCGTAGAACTTCTTTCGCAGCTATTAAGCCTGCAGGCCAAGTGATAGCGTTGCTGAACGATGTGTCAGTACTGGGGGGGGGGGAGAGTCGATATTCATTAAATAATCTCCCTCTAAACACGGGAATATTTCAAGTAGAGGATAGCACACACTCTAGAGGCATTAGTCCAAAGGCAGAAGTACAGTTTACTATACTTCGTTTCACCTTATGTTGTACCGCAGCGAAGGCTAGAAGCGCGAGCTCATAGCGTTGGCAGCTGCTCTTAACTCACGGGAGCGTGTGCCGCCGAGATGTGCCCCAGAGCAAAGAGCTCGCGCTTGTAGCCTTTCCTGCGGTACATCATAAGGTGAAACAGAGTATACAGAATAACATTAGCAGTTGTTTCGCACCGCGAAAAGCTCCAGTCAAACCACAGTAGTAAGCGCCTAACAGCGCTGATGATGGGACTGACGGGGGCGCGGTCCTATAGGGCACAGAACAGCAGCGCCATGGTGTCGTCTACGCGCAAAATCTTCACAAAGCGGCCGCCGCTCTTGCCACTACAACCCCCTCTAGAACACTGTAACGGAGCCATAGAGTACCCGGTCGCAGATTTGGAGCCCGAGGTTCTGGTGGCACAGAGCATTTCTCGGGGAGTCTGGTATTCAGCGCACAGCTTTTGCAGCGGCGAGGACCCGAAACATGGTTTTCAAACCCGACGAGAAAAGAAGCGGTAGCCCGAGAAACGCGAGAAGCACGAGCGGATATATTTCCATCGCCGGGACAGGTGGGTTTCGGCGTCTCGCCGCAGCGGGACGCCCGTTACATGACTTTTGTAGAGTGCCTTCATACACACGCGCGCTTTTGCTTGAGTGGTGACACCTCAGCCATTTTTCCACCCAATCGTTTTTTTTATGCATTTTGAAGTGCGCGCAATCCGGTGTCACTCAGCTCGAGCGCGTAGCTTGGCTGATGCACAGACGCCATCTTACCGCCCAAGTCACGCACCGAGTGCGCGAGAGCGTCACGCGCTGGAACATTCCGGACAACAATGGATGTCTTCACCCTGAGACAGACAGACATCTAGGCACCCTAGACTTTTGTCTGCCGCTCTGCCTTTTCACTTTCGGCGGTCGCGTCACGTGACGATCTGCCATGCTTTGTCAGTATCGGCGATTGCAAACAGGGCATCTGACTGCTGCCACGTTCCTGCTCGTGTGAGGAAGCACTTGAAATTGCAAGCCTGCCAAGCCACATTCACACGCATGCTGCATATGGCTGAACGCATGGGTGCGTCAGTCGGGACGCCAAGCTTGCAAACGTTATAGAGGAGGCTATGGTCGACCACTGATCTCTATGACTATTTGCTGGATCGCGTTTTCCCGCTCCGCAAATGCGGCCACAGTCGATCATCTTTTACAGCGGAGCTGTTAAGGGCTAGGTTCCCCAGGATCGTGTCCTATATCAAACGCCTGTCGACACAAACCTACCTGGACAGCTACCACCATCTATAAGCGACGGCGGCAAGCACACAACCAGTCTGGTTGCCGCCGTCGCTCGTAGATGGTGGCAACCTTTCCAGCTATCTACAGGAAGTCTACAGCTATCATAGAAGAATGGATAGTTGGGCGCGTTGGTGGGAATTCATCGTAGGAAACAGCGAGAAGAACAGATGACTCCAAAGAAGCTCACGTAACGAGCGCAGCGCTCGTCACGTGTGCTTCTTCGTCCTCGTCTGTTTTGCGCGCTGTTTCCTACGCTCTTATCAGTTTCGGTTTGGACTTAGGATGGGTCGGCCGCGCGCCCTTTTGGGAAAAAAGGACTGGCTGCGGAAGGAGCGGCGACGTACGCAGCAGCGCGAATGGGTCCGCAACCGCCGCAAAGCCGCTGTCGCCTCCACTTCCACTGCGTCGAGCGCTTAGATTCCCTTGTTAAAGAAGAGCACATCGCTCGCCTGCACTCCCCGCCGGCTGAACAATGCCCGGGCGCGACGGTGAGATTCCGGAAGGAGTTACCCGTATGGCGTCAACGACTGTATTTGATGGTGACCTTTAATGGAAATGAATCCGCAGCGTCGTCGTCTTCTTTTTACTCTATATTCAGAGTTCAGTTCAGTTCAGAAAGCGTTTATTGGCCTTTGGGGGAGGGAGAATGGGGCTGAGATCGGTGGCTTACAAGCCTGGATCTATGGCCAAGGGAAGGGGTTGAGGGGGGTTAAAGATAGGCGGTGAGCCCCGCATCGTGGATGAAATCTACGAGCGTGGTCATAACCGCCCGACGTTTGTCGGGAGGGCCCTGAGGATGGACCCATTCCTCCATGCTGGATACGTCTGGTGGTATGTGTTTTCGACGAATCTCTTCCAGCTCCGGACAGTCCCAGAGTAAGTGGCTTTGGTCGGCAAGAAGGCTGGGGTCTTGACAGAAGCTGCAATGGGTTAGACAGCATACTTCATCGTCGTCTTCGTCTGTGATGTTGATCAGTGAACAACGTGACTGCACAGTCGACGTTCCTTTGTCATATTCATTGAGTTTCAAGAATCTGCTTCGTCGAACGACCTCAATCAATCACGAAATATCACCCACGGTACAGTTTACTAGACCCACGGCTATTTTTATGGCAGCCTGCCGCCACAGCGCTGACCGCAGGCACGTAGCCAGGGGGAGGGGGGCCCATGGGGCCCGCCCCCACTCCCCCGAAATCTTCCATTTTGCTGGGGCCTCCTCTCCTCCCTCCCCCTCATACAACATTTTGTCATGGGCGCCCCCCCCCCCCCCCCCCCCCTTCCCCCGAAACAAAATCCTGGCTACGTGTCTCGCTGTCCGCCATATTACTATGATGGCTAGAGATAATATAACTCGACCAAAAAGATGGCCGACCGTGGCCACATTTCTGTGCATAGGCGGAGCTGGGCAAACGCGATCCAGCAAATAGTCATAGAGATAAGTGGGGTCGACCTAAAGCTAGCTGGCCTTTGTGTCCACTCGTCGAACGCGTTAGGATGCGAGAGCCAAACGCCAGACGCCTGTGTTCCGAGTTTTTACGCGTTCGACGAGTGCAGCGGAGAGACAGGCTGCTAGCGTTAGGTCTACCCACTAATCGCTCCAATCAGAGCTCCGCGTTCTGACGTCCCCGCGTTCTCTCCGTCTCGTTTTCTCCCTCACTTTCTCGACGCATAGTCCCTACTGCGTTGGCGCATGATTTGGCGGTAGACAGCATGCGGTCTACGGCGGATAACACTGTGGAGATTACACTAATGCATGCCGCTATGCGCCTTTCCGGAGCTTATTGCTCGGTCGAAAAATGCTGAGTCACTGGGCGTCGTGTGATATTGCGCAGATTTCGCGATCTTGCTCGTCTGTGTCCGAGTGGGCAAGAGTGGTCTCTTGATGATTATGGCGAAGTTTGGATTTTATCAAGGGGCTTTAGGTGGACGAGTCTTGTAGCGAAGCGTGGGTTTTATCAAGGGGCTTTAGGCGGACGAGTCTGCAGCAGGAAGTTTCACACCACGTGCTCTCAAACTCTGAATCTACTTGTCAGCGCAGTCGTTCGTCTGCTTTGGTCAAATTCTCCTCTGGGGTGAAGACGAGCGTTTGGCGTTTCAGAGAACGTGGAATGAGCAATAGAAAGTAATTCATTTGTCCTAAGAAAAAGTTCGAAGACTTTTAGGTGGAAGCGGGATTCGAAAGCGACCCTCCGGTTGCGACTCGCGAGCCAGACAGGCCACCGACTAACCCACGCGATTTTTTTTTTTTTCAGAAACATTTATTTACATTTTGATTTTACACTATTATCATTTGCGTTAAATTCTATGCGAGCAATGAATTATGGTGATGTAACGACGTTAAATACAGGGAACTTTTAACAAAGTTAACAAAAATCAGCACTCATCGCATAATACTTCACAAGAAGGAGGTATCACTTTTATTTGGCTTGACCTCCGACTCGTGACATTATAATCTATATAATATCAGGCGAACGACTAAGGTTCTTTACTTTTAATTTCCATTCATCACTTTCATTACAGGTGCCCAATATGCCTTGACCCACCTGAATTGCATGATGTTTTAAAATTAACCCAAGATGGCTTTGCAGCACCTGTTTCGGTGTCTATTTTGCGCGTTTTCCACAGACTGTAAACACTTCGTACTACAAAAATGTCTTGCATGGTGCCGAGGTGGTTAGCAAAATGCAAGTAGCGAAAGTTTGCCTCTTCCATTACAAAATCCTTTCTGGGTGTTCTCTAGAAAACATCCCAAAAGAACACAGCGTCAACACAAAGAACGAAGGCATTAAAACACCAGTTATGCAATTCAGATGGTACACGCCAAACACTGGATCTGGGAACAATGAAGTCAGCAACTGAGTAACTGTTGTTGTTTTTTTTTTGCTTTATTAGAGCAGGAAGCCAAAAAGGCATTATCGCATCTTACTCTTAGAAATTCTATTGTGTCCGCGACTTCTTTATAGAATCCTCGTAATTTTGTTATGTCGCTTGTGCTTGTTGCATCCTCACCTAGAAGTACCATGCATTTTTCAGAAATAATTGTTTGCAAAACTCTAAAAATGATGCTGTTCCTGTGTTAAAAAAAAAATAATAATAATAATAAATAAACATTTCCATCTGGCAATTAGCTGTCTTACGAATACATGACCTAGGCCAAGTCCTCCGTTGTGCATTCGTCGGAACAAATTGGATCTTCTCATTGGCTCGTACGGTGACCTCCAGATTAACGTCTCCATTATTCTGTTAAATACATTAACTATTAGCCTTGAGCAATGCATGACCTGCAGAAGATCCGCTAATTTTGACAAAAGAAAAATGTTGCATGTATCGACTCTACCAAAAGTAGAGACAACGCAAGCTCCGCATATTAGCCAAAGCTTTAACGTGTTTTTTTTTTTTTTTTTTTTTTTTTACATAGGTTTGGGAAAGTTCATTGCGTTCAACGGCACTCCCAAGGGCTGCGGTTTTGTAGAATGTCTCTCCACACCAGGAACCGCTACTTTTGTCATTGCCTACCACTAACACGGCACAAAACTTTGAAACTCTGAGCATTGCATTTTTTATGCTTGGCTTGTTAGGACACACCAGCAGAAGGTCATCCGCGTAGCCAAGAAGCTTGACTTTACAGCTGCGAAGGCGAAAACCTTGAATCTCGTTGTTGGTTATGATTTTTCTGCAGAGTGGCTCAAGGTAGAGGTCAAATAGCAGGGGCGACATGGGGCTTCCTTCCCTGACCGAGCATCGGACTTTTATGGACCTTGTGAGAGTTCCGTTTACAAGTAGTTTTGTGTATGCATCAATATAACAGAGCTTGATTCCGCATTCAACGTTTTCTCCTACTCCTATGTGCTTGAGAGTATAAAAAAGAAAGGAGTGTTGAACACTGTCGAAGGCCTTGTCAAGATCAACCCGTAGAATGGCCGCTGGCTCATGCGTTCGTTGCATCTCTAGTAAAGACTGGACGATGTGAATGTTGGTTTGTATGTTTCTTCCTTTGAAGGAACACGTCTGGTGGTCTCTTGCTAATATTAATATCATGCTCTGTAAACGACCAGCAAGGCCCCGTGCAAATATTTTCCAAGTCAGCTTATCGGTCGATAACCATCCACTCGTTGAAGCTTGTCCGGATCTTTAGATTTGGAAATCAGCACCGTGTGTGCTTTCCGGAACGATGCAGGTAAGCCTTTATTTCTGTATAATTGGAAAAAAGAAAATAGAAGCATTGGCACTTTTCTTTTTTTAGAAGCTGGCTGGTAAACCATCAGATCCCGGAGCTTTTCCATTCTTCATTGTCCAAATGCTTTTCTTGCCATTTTTCTTATGCCTAGTTTAAAGCAACGAAATTTCGGCGTTCATATTTTGGTCTACATGTGTTCAAAGGAGCAGTATCACATCGAACATACCAATATCTTGCTAAAAAAGTCACGAAAAGGAATTTTAAAACGAATTAAACGATTAGCAAAGAGCACCTGGTGGATGTCGCTAACGCCTCGCTTGTAGTGCCCGTCTAGGAACGTTGACAGCTAGTGTCGGTGAGTGTCTCGCCTCCGGCCACGACGAGAAAAGAGGGGAAGGAGGAACACTCCTCTTCCCGAGAATGCCTTTTGTGTGTCGCAGAAGTCGCTATTGTCCCCTTACAAGATTATAGAATAACCCGTCACTCAAAATTCGCACAAAAGCAGCCGCTTCGGTGGCTAGGACTAGGCAATCTTCTCGACGACTACCTCGCCGTAGCTTTGCTCGTCCCGAGACGACCTACGTCACGATTGCGTTGGATGTCACGTGGTCTTCGCTGGGCCTCCTCCGAGCGCTTGCCAGAGTGGGCCGTTTTTAACGAAAAATACAGCCACCCAGGCTCAAAATACAAACGTACGATTGTCATTTACGGATATTGTGGATCATAGTCAACCTATTTTTGAACACGACGGGAATATTTCAGATCTCGTTGATGTATTCCTTTAAAGGTTTCCCATTTCTGGCCCCCATCTTTCCTTGCTGCACTCAAGTATGCCTGGGGCCAATTTAAGCCTCGTTCAAAATTGTCATTTTCAAGCTTTTAAATCATTTTTCAGTGATCACAACCGGGTTTTTTTTTTCTTTTTTTAATATTTACACGAACACTGCAGGTTACTCAGCGCAGTACGAAGCCACGCTGACAATTTTATATGCTTGCGTGGCTTGATGTATAATCAAGCCACGGAAGCACGCCATGTACACACGCTTGCACAGCCTGTAAACGAGCAAAGAATCTTATTTTTTTTTTTTCGTTTAGGTTATTCAGGAGGCTGGGAAGCATCGGGGTCAAAATAAACCTCACAATAAACCCCCCCCCCCCCCCCCCCAAAAAAAAAAAAAAAAAAAAAATTGTGCAAGGTGTAAAAACAGCTCAATGATCGTCTCGTGCTTCAACAGCAGCAAGAACAGCTTTACAAAGGTGTTCTTGCTTCAACAGCAGCAAGAACAGCTTTACAAAGGTGTTCTTGCTGTGGTTACTGTACGGGAAACACAATAACCGGCAGTGCTTCCAGCTACTTGACCCCCCCCAAAACAAGGACATCAGAAAACGTACAACTGTCTATGACGTTTATTCAACGACTTCCCCCGCCTTCACATCCCCCTCCCCATCAAATAAAAACAAGACCCTCCTCCCCACAGTGAGAACCAGAGCAACTCTGTGCTGCCACCACATCCGCCAGATGAGACACCCACTGCGACTCATTCGGGGCCCCGGTATTGATCTACTAAAGAAAACTTGTGGTAGAACAAATAAAAAGGGGTCGTGTCAACCCCCCCCCCCCCCCCCCCCCAAACGTCCCGTCGAGACAAACCACAACTGAGACAGGATCGGGGGGGTAGTAGCATGATGGGGGCAGCCTTATAAGGGTAGCCCAAATAAGGCTAGCCTGGCAAACGAGCAACTCAAAAGAAACACTCTGGTTTTCTTCACCATTTTGCGTCAGTCGTCAGAATGAACGCTGGCAGATGCAGACCTCTCTTCCCCTCATTCCCCAAATAAACCAAATGGGGAAAAAAAAAAAAGACATCTTGGGCTACTTTTTTTTTAAGGTTCAAGAAGGTCAAAGGCCAAGTAAAACCACCATGTCCCTTCACATTCACAACCCAGTCAGACGAAACAAAGAAAATAAAAGGGCACTGCTTAATTTTGTACTCTTATTGCAGAGCAGAGTGGAGGAAAAGGAAAGATGTGCGCACAATTCCCTAGCCCTAATACGGTTCCATCCCAACAACAAAAAAAAGAAGGCTGCACCTCTTTTTCTTGTTCACGATCAAACTTTTGGACACACTACACGCCAACTTCCCAAGGGGAGCAAGGACCAGACTGGCAAAACGCAGAGAAAGGGAACCACTCACTCTCGCACGCAAGAAATAATTAACTACACTCACTCACACACGCACAGAGAAAACCCGCTACTGTATTTAGCTGTGTAACATACACAAAAAGAGCATGTGGTGCAACAAACTCTGCAAGAAAAAACAAAAACAGAAAATAAATTTTTTTTAGACACCACAAAAAAAAAAAAAAAAAAAAAAATCAGTGAGGGTTTTCTTGAACACCAGCTCTTCAGTTCCGCCCTCCCAGAGAATCAAGAGCCTTTTGCTCTCAAGTAGTCGGAAAAAGCAAAGTGTAGACATTCACACTCACACACACGCATACATACAGATGCAGCACTCTGGCGCAAGCACACGCTAGTCAAAGGTCTCAAGAGAAACACAGAGGAAAGAGGGGAGAGAAAAGATCAAAGGAGGAAAAAAAAACAGTTTGAGAGAGGGGGCATGTAGGAGGGGGGGAGAAAGGAACGAACGACCCTCGATAGCAGGCGCCAAAAAACTCGTGTAGCGCAAGTGACAATGGTCGTCCTTGACGCGCGCTTCTGTCTCCGATCTGGTGGATCCGCTCCCGGTCGGAGCGCGGGGTCTTAGGCGGCCACCAGGGAAGGGAAGTCGTTCCAGTCGTCGACCTTGGGCGCCGACTGCTTGGGTCCGGCCGCGGGCCCGCTTCCGCCCTGGGGCAGCTCCCTGGGGCTGCGGGGACCCGAAAATCCGCCTCCGCGGGGTCCGCCCCTCTCGCCCGGAGGGCCCCGTTCTCCGGGGGGTCCCCTGGGTCCGCCCCCGCGCCCGGGGCCGCCGGGACCTCCCGGTCCACCGCGTCCGAGGCCTCCGCCGCGTCCGCGGCCCCCCCGGCTGCGGCGCTGGTCCGCAAAGTTGATCTCGATGTCGACGAGCTGACGCTGGCGGCCGCGCCGAGCATACTCGTCTTCGTCCTGCAGGAGAAGCAACGAAGGGTCCGTGAAAAGCTACAATCTGGCGCACCGAATCGCGAGCCACTAAGAAAATGGGGTAAAGACTTCTCCGACGTGCCCGTCAAGTAGGCGTTTGAAGCAACTGTATGTCGGAGTGCACTACGATGGACTGGCCAAAGCTTTGATCTGCCACATCCGATGGCGAGCGAGCAAAAAATGTGAAAAACCGCTCTGATGAGCGTATAAAATCTTTTTCAAACCCGATACGCTGTAGGCCTGCACCATGCTTTTTAACCTGGCAATCTGTAGCTCTGGCTATAGTTCAATGTAGGGTGGCATGGAGTAGTTTCTGCATGAAAACAAAGCCAGACGGGCAGTACAGTGCAATCCATCCATAACGACAATGAGGAAACTAAAATTCAGTCGTTATAACCGACTAGCGTAGCATCCCAACTGGGAATTGAGAGTTTCTAGTGTATAACTGATTGTTATAAGCACTACATAGTTATAAATGGATTGTGCTGTAACACCACCCCACCAAAGCGTCTAAAGACAGCAGAAACTGAAATGATGGGAGAGAAACCACAATATGCTGAGGGTTTCAGCAAACAGCACCTAACTAGACCTGGCAGTTTTTGCAACACACTTTGATCACACAACTGTAGGGCGTTACTGCCGTGGCTGAAAAACTAAGCTACCAAGACTGCACCGGAACCCAGTGTTGCTGCAAAATCCTTGGGAAGCGGGCACAGGTGTCGCCAGTCACTTCCCTACACACGTGCAAGCAGTTTCCTTTGTCCACCCTCTGTCGCCAGGCACGACGAAGAAAGTGCTCCGCCAGCCTTGTGGGACAGTGTGGTAGCCGGAGAGGCTGATAGCAATACAATAACCCCCATGCCTAATTAATAGTAAACAAATATAGCAACCAACAAAATGAATACGAGCAAAGGTTAGTCACTAGGGTGACAATTTTATCCCAAAAACAAAGATACCTAAGCCTAAACAGACCTAAGCAACATCCTAAGAGCCAAAAAAGCAGTTCAGGTTGCTCTCCCACTGCTGCCAGTGCACTGGTTTCAACACTCAAATGCCTACATGAGGTTGGTAATCGTGAAAGACCAGTCTTATTACCTTCGACTTCAGCCCAACAATTGGTGCAAAGAGTCGGAATTTGACGAAGTCATTGGTTGTGCGGTACATAGCTACGGGCAGGTCAGACACAACTTAAGGGGGGACATGGGTCCTTGGAGCCAAAAACATCCTAAAACTGTATTATTTTGAAAATGGCGATGGCTGTTGTTCTTCTGAATTCACCAGGCTTCTATTTTCGTGGGTGAATATTTGAACTATAAATCAACTAATAATGTCTATGCGGGCTGAATGTGAGTTGAAGTTGACTCTAAAACATTGTTTTTCCAAGACACAATATTTGGACTCATAAAAAATTTGCAGGAGGGATATCTCAGCATCCAGAGCAGATAGAAATTTAACCATTCTTGAAATGTGTAGCTAAATGTGTTAAGCATACAATGTTGAGCAGATTTTCTAATAAAAGTCTGGAAAATTTTCTATTTAATCTTTTGTTTTATGATTTGTTAGCCATGCATTGAGCACTGAACTTCAATGTGTGGTAAAATCGCTAATAGTCGGTTTATCTTAAAAGTACTTCCAACACTGTATGCTCTACACTTTCTAGCATCTAGCCATGTGTTAAAATGGATATTTTGTTGAGCTGTTTTTTTTCTATTGTTCCTCCAAACAAAGGCAGGCAAGTTTTAATTACCTTGAGGACAATTCTCCTGACTGAGAAAACGACCAGATATATGAAATCAGCACAAAAAGCTGAACAAGCTCAAGCAGTTTCAATGGGTTTGGTCATAGAATAAGAAAAAAAGCTCCAAGACCAGTGTTCCCCCTTAACGTCTGCAACTGCCTAGAATGCACAAGTCTTGTCCATCTTGATGCACATCTTCCTTTAACAGCAACCAGCAGATAGCCGTTTGCGACAATTCCGATGAAAGTGATTAGACTCACTCCCGGAAAGGGTCTACCTCACCATAGTCCGTTGCAACCTAAGAACGAAGAGCGAGGGTGGACGGGCCGGGCAGGAGGAAGCAGACGGAACGCCAAAGAGGGAAGGAGGTTTCCCCCTCTCTTGTCCAGCGTTCCGTCTCCTTCCTCCTCCTTGGCCCGTCTTACCCTCGCCCTTCGTTCTTAGGTTGCAACGGACTAAAGATTTCAAACTGGACAAGTTCAAAAACCCATTTACACAGTCCAGTTTTGCGCCTAGAAGGCGTCTCAACCGAGGCCAGTTTCAAGAGACGATCAACGACAAAAAGTTTCACACGACGAAACACGAGAAATCATAGCCACGAAGCAAAATTATTTCAAGTTTTGCACAAGTTACGACGGAATCCTATGACAGCTCCAGAGGTGTCTTGTACAGTTCTTTACATTCAAATCAACATGGCCAACAGCGTCGCTCGGTTGCTTCGTCGCAACATTGAACGGACCTTTTTTTTTTATTTTAAGTGCTATTCTTCCAAGCAGCAAGAAAAAAAAAAGTACTTGAAACGAACCATGACATAGATAAACGCTGGATCCACAGACACCCGGAAAAAGCTGCACTGGCAACAATCCCACCGACCGCCAAGGGCTAGCTCGATACGCTAGGCCTAGGCACTCTGATCCAACATCACCCCCACAGTCCCTGGCCAAGGCAGTCTGCCCACGACCGGCTGGCTTGCCAAATGGATCGTGTCCGCGCAACCCTCGTCGATCCTTCCAGTATGACTAGTTCAAATGCCGACCTCCATTTTCGGTTAACAGGCCAGTCCCTTCTTGTCATCGCCTTCCTTTCAGTGGCAGCAGTGGCAAACACTTCCAACAAAAAGAGACACCCATATCGATTCCATCTCTTTTCTTTTTGTGCCGAAATAAAAGTCGTGTGGATTACACTTGCAAAATTTGGTATGCGCAATTTGTTATTCACGCGTCTTTTATTCTGACACAACGGCACGTCAACACTGTTGAACTCCAGCAGTTCGCGTCGTGTAGTTACAAGTCAAGAAGGTAGCGGCAAATGCCCCTCAAAGGGAATCAGAGGGATATTGCCGCGCGCAGGGTCACAAACTTTCTAGAAGTCCGTGACCCTGCGAGCGGCATTATCCCTCCGCCACCTCTGCACTCAATAGCATCCCATCGTTTCCGTGACGTCGCGGCCAATGCACGAAGAGGGTCTTGCCTTTCTGTACATATTTGCTTTTATCTTTCAACTGTGACTGAGCATTGTGGAAGCCACGAGAGGGAGATTAGTTTCCCCCTCCGATGGAAAAAAATATGACTTCCCGGGATTAGGTTCCCCCTCCGATGGATACAAAGGCTGCTTTCTTAGAAAGTGGGATCGGAGACAAGTTGGCATCACTCTGTAGCCAATATCTATCCGTTGAAGCGGAGCAAGGAGCGTTTCCAGTGAACTCTTCCTTCGACTGCAGAGGGATTTGAAATTGGCGCATCAAATTGTGGAAGGAGCTTCTCCTACCTCCTTGACTTGTAACCGACTATAGAGGCCCGGCGGTTCTTGCAGTCGGTTTTAGAAGATCGGTTCTAAAGCGCGTACCAAGAGGCGGGTCAACAGCACGGCTTGAGCACTTCTATCAAATGCGCGCGTGTCCGCTCCCAGTGTGATCGGGTGTTTACATGGCTCTTGCCGACACTCTTAGTTCAAACGTTGTCTTCTTGGATGCCGGTTCGCTCCTGCATCCCGGAGGAAGCGTCGCATCGTTGCCCAACAGGCAACGATGCGACGCTTCTACGACGCCATCAGGTAGAAAATGAGGGAGCTGAGATAGGGATGTGGTAAACACACCGGCCGGTGGCTAGACTCCTTTCAGGGGTCAAACTTTGGTCACCGTGAGAGTGAGAATGCAACCCGATTTGCCTCTCACCACGTAGGGTTGCCACCTGCTCGTCAGTACTTAAAACCAACCGTCATTTACCCCCCCCCCCCCCCCCCCCCTTTTTTTTTTTCCATTATATAAGCGATTTTTTTTTTCTAAGGGGGGGGGGAGGGAGGTATCTTCAGAGAGACAATATATTCTATGGTAAGTAACAGCTCAAGATAGGGCAAAGAATTGCACACGCAGCGGGGGAACCCTGCTGCGCGTGCAGCAGAGTTCCCCCGCTGCATTGCTGTCACGTCTGGGGCATTCTTCAGGGCACTTGCACGGTAGTTAAGTCAATTTTGTCATAATATTTGTCAGCTTGCGCCGTTCCCCCCAGTCCTTTCTTGAGTTTTTCTATTCCCGCACAAAGCCTCTTTGCAACATGATTAATGCAGTCTTCTTTGCTCGTATCCATATAATAGAGTTGCAGTGCAGCAATGCGGTTGAAGCCTTTGGGGTCGCTATCACAGAGCACGGTTACATACTGCAGCTTGTGTTGTTCCACCGACCGACTGAAAATCAACTTTGCCGCGTGCACCTCCAAAGCAGTGGCCGATCAATTAAAATCTATTCCGTATTTGGAATTGTGTTCTTGTAGCCACTCCTTGTATCCTTCCGAGCCCTCTTTCGGTCCAAGGCTCCAACCGTGGCAGTAGTTGCTGACCACCACCCAAGTCCAGTTCAATAACGGCAGGAACGCCACAATGAGACATGTGGCCTCATTTAAGCCACGTCCCCGTCGTAACTGGCGCAGACATCTGGCGCCTGCTCCTTGTCGTTTGACGTTCTTAGCACCTTCTGCACCGTCTCGGCAGCCTCTGCCATCGCATTAGCAGATGCTTGCGTGGCCGCATCATGTACCTTTGTTGCAATCATCTGCTAGGAGTTCAGGTGCTTCGGCAGAGGGGTATATAGTTCCACAAAAAAAATTCAAAAACCGATGCTGCGTGCAGAAATTACGAGGCACACAGGAAGTTCAGTAAGTGTCATCGATGGTCGACGAGAGCGGCGCCAAAACGACGGCTTCACAAGTGGGCACTCAACGACAAACGTCAGATGAGCTCCGGTGCCGCGTTCTCCAAGTTCCAAACCCGCCCCATGGCAAGTTTGGCACAGCAGAACTCCCACCATGCTTCGCAGACAAGCCACATCTACCAAACGGTAGCTTGCTGCACCATCGCCGCAAGGCATCTTCGGTGGTCCCGTTGTTTCTGCCTGCCTCCTCCAAAAAGCTGACATTCCACTCAAAGGCGGTGAGCAAGTCAGATTCACAGAGCGTAGCACTTTCGGGTACTGCAGGCACCGCCGCTATGCTGCTGTGGCCTCAGCATGCAATGATCTTGAAGACTGTTGTCATGAACAGCGGGTGTGCGCAATCTGAATTGCGAGTGGCATTTAAAGCTTTGCTGTGTTTGCGACTTCACCACGGGCATCTCCTCAAAACTATCGCCGAAAGCTCACCGAAAAATTCACGAAGTAGAGACCGACGAAGTGCAAGAGCAGGTTTCTAAGCAAGAACTAGCAGACAACGAGCAAGCGACCTAGCCAAGCCAGAAGGCATGTGACATAAAGAGGCCAATAGGAGCCGACGTTTCACAAGTTCGATCAATAAGAGTTTGCGTAGCATGTTTTAGCATGAAAACGCATCAATTCCGACAGGGTTCACGAACGTCTCCCAGGGTGCCTATTTTTCTTGAACGACGATTACGACCAGTGCCAAAAAAAAAAAAATCAACAAGAGATAAGCTTTCCAACGAGGGTATGATCTTCTCGCTAGGCCTAGCGTGCACGGAGCACCTACCGTAGAATACCGCACATCCGCCCATTCCCAAATTGGCTTGATTTGAGGAAATATGCGCAGTACACTTATATGTAAAATTGACGACTGGACAAGCGCCCACCCCCCATTCCACAATAAGCGCCCATTCCCAAATTTGCTTGATTTGAGGAAATATGCGCAGTACACTTATATATGTAAAATTTATGACTGGACAAGCGCCCACCCCCCATTCTCTCGCGATTATTTCGAAATTTTGAGTGGACGCTTGCCCGTATTTTACGGTACGAGGCGAAAAACAAACATTGCAGCACTCCGTGTGTGGTGGTTCGCATCTCTTCATGTTACTGGCACGTAGCAAAATTACACACAGCGGACATGAACGAAGCTCTGTTGAGATACCCTTACAAAGTTCATGAACCTAGAAATAAAATTTCATTTGACTTAAAGAAAATTTTTTTGTCTCATATTTGTTTTTCTTTTATTGAGGAAAGAGAAAAGAATTTCTCTGCTAAGAAACATTGTTTGCAGACAAAAATCTGCTAGAAAAATGTGCATCGTCTGCTACAAACAGAGTGCCCTGGCTAAGTGAGATTGGATGCAGAGAGATATTGTGATTGTGTGCTATCTTAAGTTGGGAGCAATAAAGCAATGGTTCCTTCGCAAATGCTGGGTAGTTCCGCTGCCCAACACCAGGCTGACTCTGCTACAAATTGAATGCAATGGCAAAGTGATAGAGGCCACTGATCAACATCATGACTGCCTGCTATTTTACGTTGGAAGCAACACACATTTCCGACCAATGGGCGGAGAGTTACCCGGGACAAGCAACTGAGACACTGCGAGACCTCCCTCGCCATTTGTAAATTGGTGGAGTTCTCACCATACACTGTCCGATCGTGAACACACAAACGGGTCATAAAGTTTGATCGGTTGATGACTCCGATGCCACCCACAATCTGAAGCTGAAAGGGCACCGCACAGTTGCCCGACAAGAGAGAAAACCACCCACCTCGCTCTCCTCCTCTTCCTCCTCCTCGCCTTCCTCGTTGATCTTCTTCTTGAGCACATACATCTTCTTCCACTCGGCGTTCTCCTCGCCCTCACCGGGCTTGCGGATGTTGAAGCTCGCCCGCGAGCGCTTCTGCTCCTGCTCCTTCTTGTACTCGTCCAGTGTCATCTCCTTGGCGTCGTCGGGCAGGACTCCCTCCGCGGTGCTTGCTCCGCCCTCCTCTTCCTTGCTGCAATGCCCCATGGGGAGAGAAAAAGAATGTGCTTTTCAGTGGGACTTCTGTAAGGCAGAACATCTCTCCGAGAAGGACGACACACCCCAATATGGGAAGTTTTTTAAAACCACGGCATACGAGTGAAAGTTTCTGCGCGTGCATCAGTTTCCAATTTGGACACCAAACCACGCAAACAGCGTAAACTCTTCAAACACAAAATTGCGGTCAAAGTATTGGAGCGCTCAGACTGGACTCTCGCGACAATGACGCCGTGCTTTTGTCGCAAAGTCCAATCGGCGTGCTCCACACACTTTGGGCTCCAACCTCGCGTTTGTAAAGCCCAACGCTTGCATGCTCCACCCAAGCGTTGTGTTGGCAGATGGTACGACACCACCTGTTTTTGACCAGTATATTTGCACACCTGCCACGTTCGGAAAAACCAAATCTGGAAGAATTTCTAAGTGTGGGGAGGAGGAGCGGGGGGGGGGGGGGGGGGGGGGGGGGGGGGGGTGGGGGGGGTTTCCTAAATAAATTATTGAAAACAAATGGACACGAAAACAACTTGTCGAAATTCGGGAGTCTCTTGGGTAATACGGTAGACTCTGCAGGTATGTATTTGCCAGAGTGGCGACCCACGTAGATTGCAATGCACTTTAATTGACCCCGTAAGCGATGACGTCACAACCATTGCATATCCGCTCCAAACATACCCAGAGTGCCCCGAGAGATCGTCGCGATTTCAGACCCAGGCGGACTGGGTCTGAAATCGCGACGATCTCTCGCTTGTAACGGCTAAGGGCATCGCACGAAAGACTTTGGTAGAGCCCAGTGATGAGCGCAGCGGTAATTATGGCGGCGCACAAGGCCGTCCAGGCGTCGTCGCGTCGTCATTAAACACAGTGCACGGAACACACACACAGCACGCACAAGCACAGTATCCAGTGTTGAGTGCATCGGGAAGTTCCGGCGGGCAAGCGGTATTGTTCAAGTGTTGTCACCAAGCACACCAGTGCATCCATATGCCGAGCCAAACTGCAATGGGTCGGCAGCTTCACACTAAATAAAGATTCAAAGCCGAGGTCAGTGGGTATCCATGCAGGGCACGGCGTAAGATCCAGGGCAACGATGGGCGCGTCAGTATCCGTGCGCCCGCAGCGCGAAAGTCGCAGCCGATCGAGCGCCGAACGACCGTCCGACGAGAGCGAAGAACAAACTAAAAACTGACTCCAGTCTCGGAGACAAAGCCAGGCGCGCGCACGGAGAACGCCCGCTCGCAGCGCCCGCGTAACGGATGCGCAGTTTCGCTAACACGTGACATGCGAGAGACCGCGAAAGTGCCGGTTCCGTCCCCCCCCCCCCCCCCCCCAATCCACCCCTCCCTTTTCTCCTCCAAACACGCATGTGCGCTGTGTGCGCGCCCGCTGGCTGGGAGCAGACCCAAAGGCTCTGAGCAGACCCTACTGGAACAAGGGGAGCGGATCGGATTCACCGATCACCGTGCGATTCCAGTGCGTTGCGTCTCACTGGATTCGACTGGTTGCACCCAGAATCGCGCGGATCGGAACTGTCCACAAGTTTAGAACCCCGCGGATCCGAACTGGAACCGCTCCGATCTGACATTTTCGTACGGGAGGCTTCCTTCATCTAATATTTTTAGACGTTTATAGTCCACGTCTAATTTTTGACCGATCGTTCTTTCGGAGCGGAACCCAGTCCCATGTATTTGCCCATTACAACGCCCCTTGCAACGGTTTGTTTGGAACGGTGACGTCACACTTACGGGGTCAATTCTTTCGTCCGTGTTTTTTCTGTAATATGTTAGATTGATCAGTCAATGTGCCATATGTCTGAACATATATCTAGTGATAAATAATAATTTAGCCACAATTATTTAAATTAAATAACTCTGATTAATATCAGATAAATAGATTTAAATCGAATTAATCCAAATTAATTTGATCGATTTGATTTTTTTAATTGTGATTTTTCCACCCTGCGACGGGCCATCAAAAAATTCTTCCGTTGAGAGGGCCCCTGTCAACACCTCATAACAAGGTCAGAGTGTCAACTTTTCTACGTCACTTGCCGGAGGCCAGCAGGGGCACAGAACAGACACGAGCGCAGCACTCGTATACCCAGCTGTGCGCCATGGGCCTTCAGTACATGCCGAAGAAACTCTAGCATCACCGCCTTGCTGTCTAGCAGGTGTTAGCCCTGTCTCGCTACAATGAAGAGTACTTCGCTACTTACTCACATAGAACAGAACTTCGTTGTTGGCCACGCCCGTAGCGATGCTCTGGAGGATGCCGCCGCAGATCCCGATGAACGCTATGGTACAGTCAGACAGGCGCAGGGCCAGGTTGGCCACAATCACAAAAAACGAGACGCTCACCATCCGAAAGAGCAGGAAACACGAATTGATGTCCGAGTACTTGCTCACGTCCCAGTCGTACATCTTCTTCGCGTAGAAGAAGTTGATGCCGCGGGTGCCCTCGGACACGAACAGAAGGACGCACATGGAGGACATGAGGAGGAGTATCTGGGCGCGGCCCCTGTTGGGCCTCTCCCTCACGCAGACAAGGATGCCGTTGATGAAGTTGCGAAAATGCAACAGGTCCCTGAGCATGGTCCGCCAGCCACTTTTCTCCGATTCGACAGGATTCTTCAGCATGGCCATTATCCAGACCAGGCAAGCCAGAAGCATGCTGGCGGACACGATGAAGACTGGAAGGTAGCCACCGGCCCTGAAGATCTGTCCGGCCATGAACTGGCCGCAGGCCATGCCGATCATGGCGGACATGAGAACGATGAGGAACTGCAGCGTTCGCGTATTGCCCTTTGTGGACATGGAGGCGTTGCTGCAGACGGCCATGAAGACGCACACTAGGCCACCGCTGAGGCCGTTGGGAAGGCTGCATAGCACGTTCGCGTACATAGGGGCTTCCATGTCCACTACGGTGTAGATGGTACCGAGGTCTTGCAGGATGCCGCCTACTGTCGCTACGAAGATGGGCAGACGGTGACCGTACCTGGGGGCACAACCGGAAAAACCGTTTGAGAACACCAGTAGTCGAACAGACCTCCGAATAAGATGTTCGTTCGCCCAGCATCCAATCTTGTATCTACTCGTTGGCAGAATGAGAACGGCAGGGCGCCTCTTTTGAATGTCCGGCCACCAGCACGCACTCGCCCGTTGCCTTCCGCCGTACTTTGGCTGCGTTGCATAACCTATTGAGGCTCACGGACATCGAAGCGTTATTGAAGGGTAGAAAGCTCGCGCTGAAGGCGGACAACCCTCCCCGTCGTTCTAATGGTTCTGGAATTGATGAAAGAGTACCAGCCCAAACGTGCTGCCCGAGCATATTTTATCGTAATGGGTTCGGGTTACGTTACTTCTTTTATGCAGAGCCCACGTGGCGGAACCAGTTAGATTTAGCTGAGTCATGCTCGAATGATGATGATACCAAACTGGGTCAGGTACCATTTGGAGCATGTCTGAACTAAGCCCCATAAATAAAATTAAATACGTTTACAAATCTCTGTAACTCGAAATTAGAACGCAGCTCTTGAGGAGGAGGAGGGTAGGGTATGCCCTTCCTCCATTCCTCCTCCACCTCATATTTCCTGCTCCTCAACGCTCCCTCTTTCCCCCTCCCCCTTTCTTGCTGCTCCTTATCTCCCCTCCTTCTTTTTTCATCTTCCTCCTCTCCTCTTTTCCTCCTCCGTACCTTCCCCTCCTCCTCCTAAGCACGTGACGTCAATTTTTCCCTACATTTAGAGGAGAAACTGAATTTGTTCATAGGTGACGTGACACCAAGTCATGTGGCGTCATTTTCCCCGCTAAATTTACGAGGAAACTGAATTGGCGTTAAGATCACGTGGCGTCAATTTTCCCCCTAAATTTAGCGGGGAATTGAATTGTTGTTGAGGTCAGGTGAAGTCAATTTCCCCGCTAAATACAGCGGAAAAACTAAATTTGTTCATAGATGACGTGACACCAAGTCATGTGACGTTATTAGTATGGCAATTTGGGCCAGTTAGTTCATGACCAACCGCTCAATTGTTTACGTCTGTTTTTGCAGTTGTGTTTTTTCGGCGCCTGTCGACGATCACGTGACGTCATTTTCCCCGCTAAATTTAGCGGGGATTGAATTGGTGTTGAGGTCACGTGACGTTCATTTTCCCACTAAATTTAGCGCTGTTACGCCGACGGCGACGGCGATGCCGCTCAACCCGGAAGCAAACGCCAACGAGCTGCGATCTAAAAAAAAAAAAAAAAGTAAGGCGAATTATTGTTTGAATATTGCTCCTTGCCGGGGTCTTCGCCCAAAAGTGGTACCTTGCGAGCGGTGAGAGGGAGGCTGGAAGAGAGGGAAGCGCGTCGGCCAATCACGGCGAACCACACGCGATGTCGTCATTGACCGACGCCTCGACCCCCCCTACTTTTTTTCCCTCAACCCCCCCTTCCCCCCCACCTCAATCTCTAGTTACAGCGCCTACACATACACGCACACAGACGCCTTCGCTCAAAAATTACGTCGACCAGCCAAGGAGAGAGAGGCTGGAAAGAGGGGAAATACATTTCTGTTTACGGGCTTTAGGCAGAACTGGCAGAACCAGCTCAGCTGTCAGGTCAGGCTGGTCAGCCGACGAAGAGGCAGTAGGTTCCACTTACTTGTCGCACCAAGGTCCCAGAAAGATGGAGAGTATGGCGGCGGGCGTCAGCTGAACCAGTAGAATGAAGAGACTGTAGTTGTTGGCCACCCTCTCGATGACGTTCTTGGTCTCGGAGAAGTTTGAGAAGTTGGCGCACAGGGCCGGATCCAGGCCGAGGTGGTATCGACACGTCTTGGTGAGCAACAGGTCTTGGGTGATGAGCAGCCTCATGGCGTACGACATGGTGTAGGCGAGCAAGAATACGCACAGCGTCGTGCTCTTGACCACCGCCACCCAGACATCGCTGAGGTGCAGCGAAAGGACGGCATTGCTGCGACAGGGGCACGGGCCGGGCTTGCTGGTTTCGACTACTTCGACGGACGCGCTTCGACCGCATGAATCTTCGGCTGGCGACAGGCTGGCTGACGTAGATCCTGACCCAGCGTCATGAAGCGCCGCTGCCCGATTACCACGGAGGAATGGCCG